GGTTATCTCAAGCCCCGTTTACACTGCACTCAACTTATTGGTACGGCACGGCTAAAATGGGCACCCGTACCCAATTTTATTAGTGTTCAGGCTACCAAAACAAAGGCCGAGTACAAATGAAATGGGTACGGGTGCCCATTTTAGCCGTGCCGTACCAATAAGTTGAGTGCAGTGTAAACGGGGCTTCAAAATATATGATTTAGATATATCGTTCCAGTTTTCTAACTTTAGTGTGCAGAGCCATATAGCTCAGTGGCCACACCCAAAAGCTCACTGAGTTCCTGTTCTCTTTGAGTCTTTGTATTTCTTCAAAGTCTTTGTTCGTTATTTGTCAAAATGATCGTATTCTTGGCCTAGAAGCTCCCAAAGTAATCCTGGGAAGTGTTGATTTAGTGTTTGAACAAAACTAAAGTTGTTTTAACAAGCTTTATCCAGGCAGACAAGCCCAAAGACAAAGGCATACGGCTTCGGACCAGTCGTGGTATAAATATACACTACATAGACAAGACCAGATTGCCGAAGGTATTAAATCAAGGTATGTTTTCTCTCATATTGCGATATACGAATGCGTCTTTGTCTATTTAGCTATAAATAACAATGTTTTGACCGGACGGTTTGGTTTATATTGGTGTACGTTTCACGTAGTATATATTGCACATTGTTGCTTTATATATATTCATTGCTTTTATATATTAAAATAATAGTAACCAGAAATATTCACATCTGATTTTGCTGGGTACGGGAGGAATTTATTTTTCAATGTTTTGTAGTTAAGATCATATGCAAAGTAATACACCAGTCAGCGCTATAGTTTTGTTTCATCAGTTCTGCTATAAAATGGTCATTACATTAAAACACAGCTAATTTTCAATTTATACCATGCTTCCCTGATTTTAATACAGGAAATCAATTTTAAAACATTTACTAATTTATTTAGACCCAGAGACATGAAATATCTTTCAGGGGGAATATCATCATTTCATTCACTTCTTACATGTCCATTTTAAACATTTTATTCCACTTGCTGAGATAAAATTATTAGAGTTATCACAAATTAATTAGTTCAGTAAGTTCAACTTCAAATGAAATCACCAATTGTTAGAAAAATTGTTAGGAAACTGATTTGGTTGAAACCAGTTTGAAACTGGATAATTATCACATAACCAGTAAATCATTAGATGAGAATTTTATTAGAATCTGTTTGCCCATCCAAGAGGGTGAAATTCCTCCATAGTCAAGCTGTTATTTTTTGTCCTTTCTTGTCCTAAAAATCTAATCCATGCCAAATATGCATGTTTATGGCAGGGAAACTCCCCAGTTGGTGCAAAGGGGAAAATGTTTTCCCAAATGGGTTTCCCCTCAGAAGCAACCTTCAAATCACAGAATACAGATCAAATTTTATAATATTTTTCATGACACATTATTCATACTGTAGTCTCATTAAGATTTATAGGTTAAGACTCACTTGATCACATGAGTCAAACAATATATGTTATATCAATTGGGTGAAATCAAACACAATCCAATGGAGATTTTTCATAATATATTTGTAAATTCTAAATTGATTGATTCTGATTAGATTACAGTTAAACTATTATAGAAACAAACTTAATCACAACTCACAGTACCTGAAGAGTCGATCTCCACTGATTGTCAAACTATTGTTCTCTCTCGCACGCTTGTCTAACAATGGACCCGATATTCTTATGTTCTCTGTTTACACTAACACCTAATCACTAATTCAATCACATCTCATGTAAATCAAATAGGATCATGCTAAATTTATTTAAACTACAAAATAATTAATAACAAAAATAATCTAATAATAATAACTAAAAAAATCAAACCATATGTAAACTGTGTGATCCAGAGGTGATGAAATTAAAAGTCTCATAACACTCTGATTTTTTAACAGTGTTATTCAGACAGTATTCATAAAACTTTCAAATGTTTCTTGCATGTGCATGAGAACTAAAATGCTACTTTATTTGCAAAAAATTTGTGTGACAAGGCGCTGCACTTGCATGCAACTTCAAGCTTGTCAGGGAAAACCCTTTTTTTGAACATTAATTTTAAAAAAGTTACTGTAAATGATCTGCGTATGTTCACTAGTTAACTGACTCGAAGGTTTATCAGGTCAGGTTGATTGGCATGTATTCAACTTTTCAATCCATTATACACCACATGAAAAAGAGTTGGGCATTTCACATAATGGCATCAAATGTGGTATAACAACTGCCTGAAATAGACAAAACATTTCTCAATGTTTCGACCAGAGGGCCTTTGTCTGGACAGTTAGAATGAGAATAAATAGGGGAGAATACATGTTTTGTATGGGGCAAAACACGTGATAAAAATGGGCCAATAGAAAACGCCTGACTCTGGGCTAAGAATAGCCCGCAATGAGGGAAGCCTGATCAGCAACGAAAACATAATAACATATTACAACCATTGACATACATAATTAATACATTATATTATATATATAGCAGACATTAGAAAACACCGCTGTCTTTCATTAGCTTCAAAATTTGACCTGATGGTAATTCAATACCGTGTGAACGGCTTTAAGCCTTTTTCATACGCACGTAAACCCAAAATTGTTAACTCATCGCCAGAATAATATGATGTTATCAATAATATGATGTTATATGATGCAACAAATTTTCAGACTACAGTTTAGGACCCTCGTGTGACTATAGAGACGCATCATCCGTCTGTTATTATAAATACAGGATATTAACCAGAAAACAGCTCTTGTACACGCGCTTTTTGCCACATAAATATTTTCCAGGATATTTTCCCATTTTCGATGCACTTAAGTAAGGCGTGATTTTGTTTATGTTCGACATATTCGTCTACATATGGTTTTGCCCATGTAGATTATCATATTCTAAATTTTGAACTAGTGCGTTTGTGATTATAAATGATTTATCAACAACATGGTAAAGTAGACATGGTTGGTTGTGTGTGCATGTAGGTGCAGAACATCGCTGTGGCGTCGTATTGAATAAACTTGCATTATTAAATGCCTGGCACTGCACAGCGCTTCGTCGCGTTGTGGTCTTGTGTGATACTGATACTGGAAAAACATTCCTCGGGTTTTTTGCATTTTCTAAAAAATTCGTGCTTTCCGATCATAAATATATCGACCTTGTCGAAAAATTCGGACTAGAAGTTTGTGAAATTTACGGTTCAAGTTCGATTTTTAGACTCTTTATTGTTGAAATTCCTAACATTCCATCCCGCGGTCAAAGAAATAGGAAGTGTGACACAGCTCGATCTTTTGATATGTATTACTACGGTGTTATATAGCTGCGTCTATGTAGAATTGGGATTCCGGAGCGATTTTGACGAATCCGCTTTTTGCAGTCACGAATTTTAATTTATAGACAGAATATAATTACAACATGAAGAATTGGAGCAGCGAAAAATGCACTTTTTATGCCGCGAGAGACTATATACCGCATCTTGAGGTTTCAGACGTACCGCATACATACCACATATTATGTAAAAGTATGATATCAACTATTGTAAACAATGTAGAGTAGTTACTAATACTAGAAAATTGCATTCCTAAAATTAATACGAAGTATCTACATTAAGACTGAATATGTAGGCTATCTATCTATATTACTGACATCATACCATATTGATATTACACCGCATACGCGTGCATGATATACCATAATTAATGTTATGGAATTTGTAACTGCTTCAAACGCGATATACTTATTATATAATTTGCGTTCACTCACAATCACTCGTGATGCTCATATTGCGTGTTTTTGCACTTAAAATAAACCGGAATTTGATTAGTATTTTCTCACCTCTACTTAGAAAACATCAGCTAGAATTGCGTGCTTGCTTTGCGCGACAGACACAGTGACACAGTGCATCTAAGCTTGGCTACCGCATTTCCCTCACGTCACAAAATTCAAACCTGCACTCGCACGCAATCGGTACAATCTTGCCCTATAAAAGGAGTGCGTTATGATTTACTAAGCATTTTGAATTCAACAAGCATGGCTTCCAGCACGAAGAGAGCAAAGAGAGGGAAATTTTGCGTCTGCGGAGCTCCTGGATTGCGCAGTTGCATGAATACATATCACGTTGAGGGGATATCGATGCATAAGTTTCCCGCAAATGAAGAACAGAAGAAAATGTGGGTAAAATTCGTGCGAAAACATCGGCCGAATTTTACTCCTACGAGTTCTTCAGTAATATGCTCAGCACACTTTGAGAAATCTTGCTTCGGAACACGATATCACATTGACGTCCCGGACGAGCTGAAACCAAAGGCCAGATATCTATTAGAAGGGTCTGTACCAACAAAAGTTTCGGTTGTTCTCGAAGAATTACCAGCGACATCGCGTACGAAAAGAAGGGTGAGTCTGGCGATATTCTATGCAGCAAAACATTCCTCATTTGCCTATATGAAATATTGTGTCCAAACAGTTGTTTTGTCATAGTCGGTCAAAGCTTTTTTGCAATTTGAATTGAAAATAATTGTGAATCTTGCAGATTTTACGGGATCAGCTATCTCCATCGACAAGTTGCGCAGGCGAATTATCCAGTCCTGAAGCAGTGTCATCGGCCCACAAAATAAGTGACGAGGCAAGTCCCGATCAGGCAGAAATGTTAAACGTGAGCATGGAGGAGCTTATGCAGAAAACGGAGGGGGAAGCAGAGGGTGACAACTCAGAGACGGGTCATGAATCTCTGTGTGTAAATTGTAGCGTAAAACAGGAGAGAATTGAAAAGCTTCAGAAGTTGCGATCGAAGCAAAAGAAGCGTAATTTGAAGTTGCGAAAAGAGAATATAAACCTCCAAAAGGTTTGTTGTAACCAATTACTTATATATTAGCTATAACACAGCACCATTTTATCTCGTAAAAACATTGCGTTTTGGCCACCTGGATGTGATTGATCATTTCACTGATTTATTGTGTTTATCGTTTTAGTTAGTTGAAAATATGCGAAAAGATTTCTCCTCTGAAGAAAGCAGCACTGATGAAGCAGAACACGAAACATGTGAAGATATTGGTGTTTTAGACGAAGCATGTCATTTCGATGATGAATTAATGGGGGATAGTTCGGATGATGATTTAAGACGGGAAACAAAAGATCCAGACTGGAACGCGAACATGGAGGACGAAGAAGCTAACGCATCAGATGATGACGAGCTTGGCGAAACGGAAGATAAAAATACATCGCCCGATGTGAGGTGATTTTCGTTAAACATATTGCAACAAGCGTTATTCTCCGGAACTCTTAAAAATAATTTATCTTTTATTTTAGATCGGCTGATAGTGAACCAAAATTTATTGTGTTCTACAGTATGTTGGTTTCACTGTTCTCATTGTTCTGTTTTGAATGCAAGGCACAATCACCAAGTGTTAATGTCAATGTCAAAATGCATGGATCAATGGCAATAGTGGAACAAAGATGCAAATCATGCAAAGGTTATACGTGGAGGAGTCAACCGTTGGTCCTGGGAAAGTATCCTGCTGGTAATATTTTAATGAGTTTTGCGATCCTGATGTCTGGATCCTCAATTAGTAAGGTTCTGCTGTTATTTAGGCATATGGGCCTTAAAATGTACTGTGCTAGGACTTTTTTCTACCATCAGAAGAAATTTTTGTTTCCATTAATACTGCAATACTGGGAGAAATCCCGGGCTGTATTAATCGGTCAACTGAAGGGTATAAAAGATAGCGTTTGGGCTGGAGATGGTAGATTCGATAGCATGGGACACAGCGCAAAGTATTGGTGTTATACAATGTTGAATTGTAACCTGACAAAACTTGTACACTTCGAACTACTTCAGGTATTTTAATTTCCTTTAACTTCAGGTATATTTTTACCGCTGCGCACCAGGCGAAGTCTAGAAATGGTTTAAGGGATGCACCCGTTCTACTACTGTATTACCTTATTCTTACAGGCCAATGAAGTTGGGAGTAGTAATAAAATGGAGTTGGAAGGTGCCAAGCGTTCATTTGACGCGATAATAGTCATGGAGGAGCTTCCAATTAAGACATTCGTGTCTGATCGTCACCGCGGTATTGGAAAATGGATTCGATCCACACAAAAGGATACCACACACTACTATGATATTTGGCACCAGGCGAAGTCAACTGTGAAGAAAGTACTAAAGGCAAGCAAAGAGAAAGGCTGCGAGATACTAAAAGAATGGGCGAAATCCATCAGAAACCACATATATTGGTGTGCTGTATCAACCAAGCCTGGTTTTGCTTCCCTTATAGAAGCAAAGTGGTTGTCTTTCATGAGGCATGTCAACAATGAGCATGAAGGACATCCAAATGCATTGTATGACAAATGTAATCATGGTGAAATTACCGAAACTAAGAAGTGGATTAAAATTGGTACGTGGTAGAAATGGCACATTCCTAGATTGCATGTGAAAGGTGATTTTCAACATCTCATTGTTTTTTATCTTTCATAGGATCGAAACCATACCAGAAGCTCAAAAATATTCTGACAAAGAAAACCTTAGTCAAAGATATCAAAAAGCTTTCACCTGTTGTCCAAACTAGCTCTTTAGAGGGTTTTCATTCTGTGTTAAACCATTGGCATCCTAAAATGATTCACTTTTCTTGGTTAGGGACATACTGCAGGTTAGTACACAATCTGTGCTTAAAGTGAGCAGACTGTATACAATAATAGTAATATTGGATAAAAATTGGAACTTATGTGAATTTTTTTACACCTAGGCACATTCTAGCATGTTTACACTTCAATGAAAATACCCATAGGATGACAAAGATGTCCAAGAAAGGCATTCCATATATAAGGGTCACCTACCCAAAATATAAATTGGTGAAGAAATGGTCAGGGAAATTTCTGTTCCAGCATCATAGTATGTATAAAAATGTGTAAAATGGTATGAATCCATAAATTAATACTAATGTTATTATAACATCTCCTCAAGGTTATATAGATGAAATGTGTCATGAACTTCTGTACAAATGCAACAAGGAAGATTTAAAAAAGACGTATGAAACATACAAACTAAGGAACCTGGTTCACTGACCAGCCAGTTTTCTCAGCGCAGGAGTAAGGAGGAAGCTATCAGAAATCAAACACAAAGGAAAAGAAAACTAACTGAGCTGTTTCCTTCAGGTTAGTACTTAATTGGTTTGCTTTTATCACATAATTGTGTACATGTAAGCTTTATAGTATCTTGTACTTTATAGTATCCTGTATTTTTGATTTGTTTAGGTGATATTCAACACCAAGACCAACAGAAAGAAATGTCAAAATCTGTTAGCAAGCAAAACCGCAAGGCACCTTGTTGCAGAAAATGTGGACAACCAATGAAAGGGCATCAAAAAAGCATATGTGAATCAAATACAGCTGGTCAACAACAAAATAGTTAGTAAATAAAGAATATATACATTCATATTGGCATATTGTATAATATAACATACCTGATAATGAGAAATTAAAGTAATAAATTCACTGTACTTTGCCCGTGTATCTATTATGGGAGTTTACTAATATCACATTTAGGAAACTCAAAGTGCAGACAATTATTTCTCCCTTTGAAAACATCAAGTTCTCTGCGTTTGCATTAAGTTCTCTGCGTCGATTCTTTGTATCCGGTGGTACTTGAAGATGAAAATCTTTTCCTTATTTCATGATACAGGCAGGCTGGAAGCGGTCTAGAATTGTCCCACCCCAGCATGCCAAATATCCATCTCACCACCCATCTATATGCCACCGCTCGTAAATACCTAAATAATCAAGCAATGAGTCGTTAATTTCACGTGTGCGTTACATACTTTTGTTGTGTATTGCCGACATCGATAAAAGACTCTGTATTTCGACCTATTAGTACTAATTTGTACACATGAGAACATGAAAGAATAGCAATGTTGTACAAATATGTACATACTCATTTTGCCGATCTTGTGTCCTGCTTGTTGGCTTATGATATTTTTTCCCCGACTTGTCGGAGAGAAAAAGCTCCTGCAGTCTCTAATACTGTCCGGTGAGTGACCACAGCATAGTCCCAATGTTGTGTTATGCATGCTGCGTCCTTGCCCTCATTCGTAAACTTGCCCATGCACTCGAGAATTTCTTTGCAACAACGATATTCTCTGGCGTCCTGTAATAGCTCTACTCTACAATGTCCGCATGTGCACCTTAAAATATACAGACGAATAAGAGGAAAAGGTTGTGGTTAAACAGCCTAAAATAATATTCTTTTCATGAAATTACTTACCATGAGTTGAAAGGTAAATCTCCCTTAAATCTCGATTCAAACGTTTCGCGCAGAATACCGTCTTCGTCCGTTTCGTCTTCCTCATATTCACTATCTGCCAGTGGCTCAAATTGGTAAGGCTGAACAACAGACGATTGCTCAGTGATGTCCTCATTATCTGATGACCCTTCTGTCTCCGTCTGCGACTCGAAACTTTCGTTATCAGACATTTTTTACGCACAATATTAAAAAAGCTTTGCGTGATTGCGTGATCTTTGTTATTTTGCTATACTAAAACACGTCGACGTGTCACACTTGGTCACACTGCATACGTCACAAGGGCCAAAATTCTAGATACCAGTCTTTCGCCAGTAAATAGTCTCAAAATCGAACTTTAATCGTAAATTTCACAAACTTCTAGTTCGAATTTTTCGACAAAGTTGGTATATTTATGATCGGAAAAGACGAAATTTTTAGAAAATGCAAAAAACCCGATATTGAAATTTTCATTTCATATACACTTTAAACGAATTACGTTATAGCACTATTTCATTTCGTTCTTAGCTACCAGAAGAACCTCGATCGGACACTAGGCCTGTCGGACGAAAACTAAGCGATGCCCGTCGCAAACAGCTTGGGAATATTATTCGGCCCCCGGCAAGACCCGATCTACCTTCTTGCGCGGGAAACCGACAAGCAAACAGACACGCGTTTGGACACGATGTAAAAGCGAACGAAACCGACCATGGCTCGAAAAATCAATTGGGATCGGCCGTAAAACCTCCGGCGACTATCAAACTTCCAAAGCGTAGATCATCGCTGCAGAAGCATACCCAGGGTAAAAGAGCCGCGGGAAAATCTCCGGTATGTGAAAGTGCCGGGATAAAATCTCCGCCCGGCCTCCCCGAGGATGCGGAGGGTAACCGTATAGCTGCTTTAAAACAGCGGTTATTTGAAATGCAAAATATGCAGAAGAAAGAAAGTAGGAAGATTTCCGTTCCGATATCGAGATCAGTTGGAAATGTTGCAAGAAAGACGAGGAGTTTTGAAGATAAGGTAATAGATGGGTGGGGGAGCGACGTGGGTTGACGTTATAGGTGGGGGAGCGATGTTACAGGTGGTGGAGCAACGTTATGGGTGGGGGAGCGACGTTATGGATGGGGGTGCGACGTTATGGGTGTGGGAGCGACGTTATGGGTGGGGGGCGACGTTATAGGTTGGGGAGCGATGTTACAGGTGGTGGAGCGACGTTATGGGTGGGGAAGCGACGTTATGGATGGGGGTGCGACGTTATGGGTGGGGTGGGGGAGAGACGTTATGGGTGGGGGAGCGACGAGGTGTACCGCCACGGGCGAATTGTAGAAGTGCTGGAAATCTATAATGTTGCAGCTTTGGAGCTAACAATTATTAAAAAGGTCCCAAATTTAAGACTACTGAGTAACTTTAATTAAAGTTGTACTGAACAACCAGCAATTTTAGAGCGATTGAAGAAAACACAATCCGGTTGATAGCGCTGTACAGCTTTTGAACAACCTGCTCCAGCTGTACTGGTAAAGGGATTAACCATTACCATTATCTTCTGTATTTTTTATTTGTAGCTTATGATATCAATATTAATTAATATATAAAATTATAATATCATTATTATTCTTATCAGTCCTGACGCTTTTCGGCGAGGAAGTCGGGGCGCTGGAACTGGGAGCATGGAGCTAGGGTGATATAGTGTAAATGTAGGCGGGTTTGCTCCACCATCGTATTTCTAGTTGCCTTGGTTACTGGTTAGAAATTTTTAATCGTTTCACGGACTCGTTCTTGTCACAACCATGCACAATTCTTTATTTTTCAGCTATTTGGTGGCGAGGGCCTGGCGCCAACGCTTTTTCCTTTATTTAACAAGCCGAAGAAGAACCCAGTCACAATTCAAGGAAAACCCAACCTAGAGCGTTCACTCTCAGTTGGAAGTTGTATGTACAGTTCCGTCAAGTTGGAAGAATTCTTTAACAGTAGAAACGATTAGTTTCTGTAGTAACCATTTATCATGAGTAGCATTCCCTCTTGACACGCTTGTGAATTTTATTCAACTTTCAAAAATAGCGAATGTATACAAAACATGTTGTGCGCCTTTTTTCGGTTTCGGGACTGTACTCCGTAGGAGTATCAGGGAGTTATTGCTAACGGTGTCGGCGTGTCGCATTCTTTAGTGCAATTAACTCGACCAACCTGCTTTGCGCACTTAGTATTAAAAACTTGTTTGTCTGGTTAGTCTACTTGAGTCGTCTCATTGAGTCCTTTGATTGAAAGATATAGTTGCTACAATGCTACATCCAGTGTTTTATCAGATCAGTGTGGAATAAAGGTCACAATGGGTCTCACAACATGCCATCTCACCTCACATAACATGTCATCATAACCGCATCACAGTGAAAACTAGTGCATTTGATATTCATGTTTGAATTTGCTTTTATGTTTCCTAATATGAAATATAAACCAGAGTGAAATCTGGTCCAAATCATAATTTAAGCTGGTAAATGCAGAAACGAACTATGCTTCGAAATGCTCGATCAGCTTCCTGAGCTGGCGTGCGTGTATATACAAGGAAATCCAATCCTTGCGTAAGATTTAAATTATAGAATTTATTATAAAATATGCCCCAATCCAATGTAATAGCCCGCAAATAGGCATCCACCAATTGCGACACCGCCGCAGCAAACACATGACCACTGACGTGCATTAATCTATCGAACGATTGGGCGAGGTTTTCAATTCCCGTCAAAACTCAAAAGTGTTTGTTCCTGCGCATTTGCTGTATGTTTAATTATCTCTGTGGGGTTTTGGTCATGTAAACGAACTATCGCCTTCTAAGTTTTAAAAGTACGTTTGTGATTATAAATGATTTCATATCATCAACACTTACAGTGTAAATATATAGACACGGAAGTACTAAGGAACAGCAGCGCTGTGGCGTCTATCTTTTTATTTATTTTCTTGGAGACGTATCACTCGTGATTTGAGATTACTATCTTCCTTGATTTTTTGTGCCTTTATGCAACTGCATGGTTACCAATCTTTAAATGAATTCGTTTAAAAGATATACACGAAAAATTTAGGACTATCATCTAAATGGCTTGGCATTATTCCACAGCGTTATGATCGCGTTGTTATCTCGTGTGATACTGGAAATAAATTCCTCGCCTTATTTAACCGATTGCTACTATTCTATTCGACAATTGTAAGATACTTCAGGTTATCGCTTTTCATTATATTTCTACCAAGCAGATTAAATTTGGCGGTCTGGGGCCGGTTGTATGAAAGCCGGATAGCGCTATCCACCGGATTTTCAATTGCTTTAAAATCGCCCGTTGTTTGCTATAACTTTCATTAAATCTAAGTTTCATTAAATCGAAGATCCCTTTTATTAATTGTTGGTTCCAAAGATAAAATTTTATCGCTTTTCGAGCATTTTTAGAACGGTTGAAAATCACTATCCGGTGGATAGCGCTATCCAGCCTTCGTATACAACCTAGCTGCCCCTGTACTCTGTATAGACATGCACAGTTGCAATTAAAGAGTTTAAGATGCGAGATTTAAGCTTCGGAATAAACTATTCTACATTCCGAGAAACCAAATTACTTTTTTACTTGATATAGCTACTATATGACCATTTTTCACAATGAAATAAATAATATGAAATGTTTGCTGAATGATGACCCGAATAAACTCCACAAATATACACATAACTACATGACACTCGCATAACATTGGGAGTTTTAAATTACATTGAGAATTACAAAACTTTTCCTCCTATAGGATTCAAGTCTTCATTTCCGCGCAACCGTTTTTTTATATTTCCGGGGAATCTTTGCCGTGTACTTTTTGTAGTGGAATTATCGCTTTGAAAATTTTGTCACGGCGGACAGAGCTATTATCATCGCTTCAACCGATGACATTTGCTTTTATGTTTCCAATATAAACAAGAGTGAAATCTGGTCTAAATCATAATTTATGCTGGTAAATGCAAAAACGAACCATGCTTCGAAATCACGAAATGCTCGATCACCTTCGTGAGCTGGCGTGCGTGTTTATACACGGAAATTCAAATCTCGCGTAAGATTAAAATTATAAAATTTATTGTAAAATATGCCCAATCCAATTGTAATAGCCCGCAAACACATGACCACTGACGTGCATTAATCTATCGAACGATTGGGCGAGGTTTGTTGGCTTGGCTGCGCATTTGCTGTATGTATATCTCTGTGTGGTTTTGGCCATGTAAACGAATCATCGCCTTCTATAAGTTTTAAAAAACTAGTGCATTCGTTTAAAATTCATGTTTGAATTTCCTTCTATGTTTCCTAATATAAACCAAAGTGAAATCTGGTCTAAATCATAATATGCGTGTATGTACAAGGCGTGCGTTTATATTTAAGGGAATTCAAACCTTGCGTAAGATTTAAATTATAAAATTTATTATAAAATATGTCCGAATCAAATTACCAAAGGCAATCCACCAATTGCAACACCCGGCAAACAAGTGACCACTGACGTGTATTTAATATATCGAACGATTGAGCGACGTTTTAAATTCCCGTCATAAATGTTTGTTGGCTTGGCTGCATGCACATTTGCTGCATGTGTATATCTCTGTGGGGTTTTGGCCATGTAAATGAACTATCCCTTCTAAGTTTTAAAAGGTACGTTTGTGATTATAAATCATTTCATATCATCAACACTTACAGACTAAATATTTAGACACAGTCGGTTGTATCACAGGTTGTTTGTGCATCTTGACACGGAAGCCGGAACAGCCGACTGTGGCGTCTATCTTTTTATTCGTCTTTGGGGAGACATATCACTCGTGATTTGAAATCACTATTTTCGTTGATTCTTTGTGTCTTTATTCAACTGGTTACCAATCTTTAAATGAATTCGTTTTAAAGATATATACGAAAAATTTAGGACCATCATCTAAGTGGCTTAGCATTATTCCACAGCGTTATGATCGCGTTGTTTTCTCGTGTGATACTGGAAATAAATTCCTCGCCTTATTTAAACGATTGCTACTATTCTATTCTACAATTCTAAGATATTGCAGGTTGTCGCTTTTCATTTTATTTATACCAAGGAGATTGAATTTGGTGGTCTGGGGCCGGTTGTATGAAAGCCGGATAGCGCTATCCACCGAATTTTCAATCGCTTTAAAATCGCCCGTTGTTTGCTATAACTTTCATTAAATCGTAGTCTCATTAAATCGAGGATCCCTTTTAATAATTGTTGGTTCCAAAGATAAAATTTAATCGCTTTTCGAGCATTTTTAGAACGGTTGAAAATCACTATGCGGTGGATAGCGCTATCCAGCCTTCGTATACCACCTAGCTGCCTCTGTACTCTGTATACAAATGCGCAGTTGCAATTAAAGAGTTTAAGATGCGAGATTAAAGCTTCGGAATAAACTATTCTACATTCCGAGAAACCAAGTTACTTTTTTTACTTGATATAGCTACTATATGACCATTTTTCACAATGAAATAAATAATATGAAATGTTTGCCTGGCGAAAATAAACTCCACAAAGTATACAAATTCCATAACCACATGACACTCGCATGACATTGGGAATTTTAAATTTCATTGAGAATTGCAAAAAATTTCCTCCTAGGATTCAAGTCTTCCGATTTCTGCGCATCTGTTTGTTATATTTCCGTGGAATCTTCGCCATTTAGAGGAATTATCGCTTTGAAAATTTGTGAGAAGGTAAGTTTTTGTCACATCGTTGGTCATATTCTTTCCTTTTTTAAGACTATCCGTGTTTATTCTGTGGCGCGGCACAGAGCTATTATCATTGCTTCAACGGATAACATGCCATCACAACCGCATCACAGCGAAAACTAGTGCATTTGTTTAAAATTCATGTTTGAATTTGCTCCTATGTTTCCTAATATAAACCAGAGTGAAATCTGGTCTAAATCATAATTTATGCTGGTAAATGCATGCAGAAACGAACCATGCTTCGAAATGCTCGATCAGCTTCCTGATCTGGCGTGCGTGTACATACAAGGAAAATAGGAAATTCAATATTTGCGTAAGATTTAAATTATAAAATTTATTTTAAAATATGCCCCAATCCAATCGTAATAGCCCCCAAAAAGGCAAATTGCGACACCAATTGCGACACCCTGCAGCGAACACATGACCACTCACGTGCATTAATCTATATATATCGAACGATTGGGCGAGGTTTTCAGTTCCCGTCAAAACTTAAAAGTGTTTGTTGGCTTGGCTGCGCATTTGCTGTGTGTGTATATCTCTGTGGGGTTTTGGCCATCTAAACGAACTATCGCCTTCTAAGTTTTAAACAGGTACGTTTGTGATTATATAAATGATTTCATATCATCAACATTTATAAAGTAAATATATAGACACGGTCGGTTGTATATGTATCTCGATACGGAATTCGCAACAGCCGACTCTGGCGTCTATCTTTCTATTCGTTTTGGGGGAAACGTATCACTCGTGATTTGAAATTACTATCTTCGTTGGTTCTTTGTGCCTTTATTCAACTGGTTACCAATCTTTAAAGGAATTCGTTTAAAAGATATATACGAAAAATTTAGGACTATCATCTAAGTGGCTTAGCATTATTCCACAGCGTTATGATCGCGTTGTTTTCTCGTGGGATATTGGAAATAAATTCCTCGCCTTATTTAAACGATTGCTACTATTCTATTCTACAATTCTAAGATATTGCAGGTTGTCGCTTTTCATTTTATTTATACCAAGGAGATTGAATTTGGCGGTCTGGGGCCGGTTGTATGAAAGCCGGATAGCGCTATCCACCGGATTTTCAATCGCTTTAAAATCGCCCGTTGTTTGCTATAACTTTCATTAAATCTTAGTTTCATTAAATCGAAGATCCCTTTTAATAATTGTTTGCTCCAAAGATAAAATTTAATCGCTTTTCGAGCATTTTTAGAACGGTTGAAAATCACTATCCGGTGGATAGCGCTATCCAGCCTTCGTATACCACCTAGCTGCCTCTGTACTCTGTATACACATACACAGTTCCAATTAAAGAGTTTAAGATGCGAGATTTAAGCTTCGGAATAAACTATTCTACATTCCGAGAAACCAAGTTACTTTTTTTACTTGATATAGCTACCTGATATATGACCATTTTTCACAATGAAATATATATAATATGAAATGTTTGCTGGCGAAAATAAACTCCACAGATATACAAATTCCATAACCACATGACACTTGCATGACATTGGGAATTTTAAATTTCATTGAGAATTACAAAAAATTTCCTCCTAAGATTCAAGTCTTCCGATTTCTGCGCATCTGTTTGTTATATTTCCGTGGAATCTTCGCCATTTAGAGGAATTATCGCTTTGAAAATTTGTGAGAAGGTAAGTTTTTGTCACGGCGTTGGTCATATTCTTTCTTTTTTTAAGATTACCCGTGTTTATTCTGTGGCGCGGCACAGAGCTATTATCATTGCTTCAACGGATAACATGCCATCACAACCGCATCACAGCGAAAACTAGTGCATTTGTTCAAAATTCATGTTTGAATTTGCTCCTATGTTTCCTAATATAAACCAGAGTGAAATCTGGTCTAAATCATAATGTATGCTGGTAAATGCAGAAACGAACCATGCTTCGAAATGCTCGATCAGCTTCCTGAGCCCTGGCGTGCGTGTATATACAAGGAAAAAAGGAAATTCAATCCTTGCGTAAGATTTAAATTATAAAATTTATTTTAAAATATGCCCCAATCCAATCGTAATAGCCCCCAAAAAGGCAAATTGCGACACCAATTGCGACACCGCCGCAGCGAACACATGACCACTCACGTGCATTAATCTAAAAAAAGCAACGATAGATATAATCTAAGAAGCAACTATAACGATTACGATCTTGGGAAACCTAAAACAAATTTAATGAAAAAAAGTTTCAGTTACTCAGCTGCATCACTTTGGAATGGTTTATCCAATGAAGCGAAAGAATTAGGCATAAGTACTAAAAAATGAACGAACTATCGCCTTCTAAGTTTTAAACAGGTACGTTTGTAATTATAAATGATTTCATATCATTAACATTTATAGAGTAAATATATAGACATGCACGGTCGGTTGTATATGTATCTCGATACGGAAGTCGCAACAGCCGACTCTGGCGTCTATCTTTTTATTCGTTTTTGGGGAGACGTATCACTCCTGATTTGAAATTACTATCTTCGTTGATTCTTTGTGCTTTTATTCCACTGGTTACCAATCTTTAAATGATGCGTTATGATCGCGTTGTTATCTCGTGTGATACTGGAAATAAATTCCTCGCCTTATTTAAACGATTGCTACTATTCTATTGGACAATTCTAAGATATTTCAGGTTATCGCTTTTCATTTTATATGTACCAAGGAGATTAAATTTGGCGGTTTAGGCCGGTTGTATGAAAGCCGGATAGCGCTATCCACCGAATTTTCAATCGCATTAAAATCGCCCGTCGTTTGCAATGACTTTCATTAAATCTTAGTTTCATTAAATCGAGGATCCCTTTTAATAATTTCAAACATGAAATTTTATCGCTTTTTGAGCATTTTTAGAACGGTTGAAAATTACTATCAGGGACCGGTTGTTCGAAAGGCGTTTAGCTTAAACGGTGGATAAGTTCAAAATGGAAAACAAAATTATGTATTTGTTGAACGCCTTAGCTGAAATATTTCGATGTAAATTGTTTAATTTTCACTGGTAATACATATTTAATGCATAAGATGCAAGCAGCAAGTTTAGTCACTCATAAGATCTATAAGAATATTTTTAAATTTTAGCTTATCCACCGTTTAAGCTAAACGCCTTTCGAACAACCGGGCACCGGCACCCGGTGGATAGCGCTATCCAGCCGATATTTAAAGAGTTCAAGATGCGAGATTTATGCTGTAGGATAAACTATTTTACATTCCGAGAAACCAAGTTACTTTTTTTACTTGATATAGCTACTATATGACCATTTTTCAGAATGATATAAATAATATGAAATGTTTGCTGAATGCTGACCCGAATAAACTCCACAAATATACACATAACTACATGACACTCGCATAACACTGGGAGTTTTAAATTACATTGAGAATTACAAAACTTTTCCTCCTATAGGATTCAAGTCTTCATTTCCGCGCAACCGTTTTTTTATATTTCCGGGGAATCTTTGCCATGTAGTGGAATTATCGCTTTCAAAATTTGAGAAAGTAAGTTTTTGTCACGGCGGACAGAGCTGTTATCATCGCTTCAACCGATAACATTTGCTTTTATGTTTCCAATATAAACAAGAGTAAAATCTCGTCTAAATCATAATTTATGCTGGTAAATGCAATACAAAATCATACTAAATCATAATTTATGCTGGTAATAATACCTATTAGCACATCACAGACGGGCGACAGTAATTCCTAAAGAATCACAATTTTCTCAGCTGCTATTTTATAGAATTTCTTCAAATCTCCGTATTTACTTGGAAATAATATGCTCTCTCAAACAGACTGAAACAGTGTGTAACATGAAAGTGGGTTGAAGTTCCATGGAATAGAGGCGGAGAAAATTGGGATTGTTTAACGAGTTGGGATTGTTTACTTTGTACGCGTTCTACACACCAGAGTATCTGAACACTTGGGAATTTCCCCTATAACCATAGGTAGCCCAACACTCGTGGTCTGCGCACGTACACGCTACTCAGTGATTAGCATATATTAATTTATCCTAAGGTTGGCAACTTTATCACCAATTATCAATAATATATCACATATACATACATGTCAAACTTCGATAAAAACTGAAAAACTACCACAAAATACTGCAAAATTAATAAATATAAATGAACTTGGATATATTTTCTAAATTCTGACATAGTTTTTAGCTTCAAAATGTATTGGGAAATACGGAAATTTTTTCATTTAAAATAAAGTTTTTGAAAATACATTGTCGATAGGCGGGATCCAATTTACTCTACAATACGTCACCTTCGGAGTCAATCCTATCGGCTGTTCTCTCACTGAGAAATCTTCGGAAATTTTCCGACTTTTCAGCAGCCAATAGGATAAATAGGATTGACTCGGGATTTCTCCGAAGGTGACGTAATGTAGAGTAAATTGGATCCCGACTATCGACAAGAAAATTTCGACAATGTATTTTCAAAAACTTTATTTTAAATGAACAAATTTCCGTATTTCCCAATACATTTTGAAGCTAAAAACTATGTCGGAATTTAGAAAATCCAAGTATATCCAAGTTCATTTATATTTATTAATTTTGCAGTATTTTGTGGTAGTTTTTCAGTTTTTATCGAAGTTTGACATGTATGTATGTGATATATTATTGATAATTGGTGATAAATTTGCCAACCTTAGGATAAATTAATATATGCTAATCACTGAGTAGCGTGTACGCGCGCGGACCACGAGTGTTGGGCTACCTATGCTATAACTGGAAAACCGTCATCTAGTCCAGTTTTATCCAGCATCTTCTCCCACATAACTATACTGCAGGGCACTGTGCCGACTTTGATGATTTTAAAATTCTTCTTCATGTTCTGACAAACATGAACTCATGATTCATAAAGCCTCCTCATCTCCAAACTCAAACCCTCGCCTAACATCCAGGGCAGTTCAATCCCACTTAATCTTCTGTAACGTGTTTTCATAGTTTTTGTATTGTGTTTATGTCCCTTCGTCTGTGCGGTTTTGTCATGTACTATCTTATACCTTCCTATCCGTCATTAATTTACATATGTAAATAGATTATATATACTCAAATCTCATGTAATTTTATATCACTTGTCTGAAGATGTCTTAGGTTAAAGACGAAACGTTACAAATATATTTACTTTTAAACTTTAAATTGTTTTGATGGCTTTCTTGTACGCGCTTCTTAATTCATTAATAATGCGCAGGCATGTCTTAATATATCGCAATTTTCTCAGCCGCTATTTTATGGAATTTCTTCAAATCTCCGTATTTATTTGGAAATAATATGCTCTTTCAAACACTCTGTAACATGCGGATGGGAAAATGCGAATGAGGGGGTAAAATGCGGTTATAAGATAACAAGGACAAGCTATCCTACATTCCGAGAAATCAAGTTACTTTTTTTACTTGATATAGCTACTATATGACCATTTTTCACAATGAAATAAATAATATGAAATGTTTGCTGGCGAAAATAAACTCCACAAATATACAAATTCCATAACTACATGACACTCGCATGACATTGGGAGTTTTAAATTTCATTGAGGATTACAAAAATTTTCCTCCTAGGATTCAAGTCTTCATTTCTGGGCATCTGTTTGTTATATTTCCGGGGAGTCTTTGCCATGTAGTGGAACGGGGAATCTTTGCCATGTAGAGAAATTATCGCTTCCAAAATTTGAGAAGGTAAGTTTTTGTCATGGCATTGGTCGTATTCTTTCGTTTTTTAAGATTATCCGTGTTGGGTATTTTTCCACAAGTGAATATAACGTTATTATGAATATAACGTATACCTTTAGGTGAATATAACAAAACTGAAATTGCAAAAAGGCGGCTAGCCGTTTTGTGGAAGTTTCTTACAAAGAGATAAGCGAACAAATGCAGTTCTTGTGTCAATTCACTTGTGTAAAAATACTAAAACAATTATTCTTGCTGTAAAGACTGTCCATAGGATGAATTTCCTTTGACCGCTCACGATTACCACCTTAACAAAAAGTATGCCACGCCGGTGTAAGGCCGTCGTCAATTGTAACCAAAGGAGGGTTAACAAAATATTAATATTTCATATAGCTTAGCATGTAATCTAGTTTATATTTACTCGTATAATATATTGTTAGAGGGACAGTTACGTTCATTTGAGAACGGCAACAGATTTAAGAAAACTTATATTATATCAAATCTTAGAATTACGAATGATCAAAATTTGCTAAATTTTAATGTTTTTTATTCTATTACCGAACAGAATGTATAGTTAGTTTTTTATTTAACTACAGTTTAAACTAGTTATTAAAATGTTTGCTATAAATTATAGATACATTCTTAATGATACCTACTTTTTATTTATATGCGAAAATCATGTGTATTTCAGCTTTAGGGCTGCGAAGTGATTTGTTTTAGTAAATACGATCTGAAATGCAAATACGGTCTCCCGCTTCGTGGTCGTGCGATTTTTGGTAGTGACGCATGAGCACTCCACTTAGTGCAATTACCATTATAAATACGCATCCCACGTGACACTCACATGACATTCTAGCCACTGATTGGGTGGGTTAAAGTTAAAATCAGAATTTGTTCTTTCTAGGTTTTAAATCTACATTTCAGTCCATCTGTCCGTTATCCTGCCCGAGAATTTACCATGTAGTGGAATCATCGCTTTGAAGATTTGAGAAGGTACGTTTGTGTCAGTGTTGGTTACGTTCTTCGAATATTAACAGCATGAGTGTCTATTGTATTCTACTGAGTGACATAGTACAGAGCTGTGACGTCATTACGTTCTTCAAATATTAACAGTATGAGTGTCTATTGTATTCTATTGAGTGGCACAGTACAGAGCTGTGACGTCATTACGTTCTTCGAATATTAACAGTATGACTGTCTATTGTATTCTATTGGGTGGCATAGTACAGAGCTGTGACGTCATTACGTTCTTCGAATATTAACAGTATGAGTGTCCATTGTATTCTAATGAGTGGCACAGTACAGAGCTGTGACGTCATTACGTTCTTCGAATATTAACAGTATGAGTGTCTATTGTATTCTATTGAGTGGCACAGTACAGAGCTGTGACGTCATTACGTTCTTCGAATATTAACAGTATGAGTGTCTATTGTATTCTATTGAGTGGCACAGTACAGAGCTGTGACGTCATTACGTTCCTCGAATATTTACAGTATGAGTGTCTATTGTATTCTATTGAGTGGCACAGTACAGAGCTGTGACGTCATTACGTTCTTCGAATATTAACAGTATGAGTGTCTATTGTATTCTATTGAGTGGCACATTACAGAGCTGTGACGTCATTACGTTCTTCGAATATTAACAGTATGAGTGTCTATTGTATTCTATTGAGTGGCACAGTACAGAGCTGTGACGTCATTACGTTCTTTGAATATTAACAGTATGAGTGTCTACTGTATTCCATTGAGTGGCACAGTACAGAGCTTTGACGTCATGTTAAATGAACTGGTAACCAATATAGAAATAATTCATAACACGATTGCGAGGGTCGGGGCTGAAATCTGAGAATTAAAATTGTCTGACAATAATCAAACACTAAACAGCAAATAAGGAAGATTAGTTTTTCTGAGACTAAGGATCGATCAATACAGTTTTATTGTAACAGACTCCCTGAGGGCGTAAGAGTTCTGTATAGACTTGCGAAAATATATAATCCAGCTTGGCTGGTTACATGCTGAGAGAGGCACAGCCACTAGTCTGAAAATACAGATGTTTTATGGGATGAAGTATTATTTGTAACAATAAATTATCAAGAGTCGGCTGAAACAGCTTTTCAAAATTTTCGTTTGAACTAAATGGAATTTTTAAAAGACTTCACAATCGGAAATGAAAAAGTCGCGTAGCAATAGATCTTAATTAAATACACGAGATATTTTCATGAATTATTTGACATCAGAGTACACTCAGATCATACCATGTCTATAAATGAGAACATGCTTTCAAAATTTATTATGTCAAGAAAAATCTTATTTCCACACACAAATAAGACAGACGGAATGTTCATGGAAATTCTAAAATTAAGTTAATGTAAGTTTGTCATATGGGTAGTAGCAAGTCAGAAACGTTACTCCTAAAACATAATCATTTTCACAAAAGTCTCTTCACAAAATCATTTTCACAAGAAATCCCTTCGTTTAAAAAGATCCTTGCGACTTTCTTTTATGACAGAATGTCATAAAATATGTGAAAATCTACTCTATCCCATTCCTTTTCTTGGTGTAGCCTATATAATTAATATAACCATTTTGTTACAGTAATTCGCGCAGTCCTACGCCATGGCTTCTAACGAACTGGAAGAAAACGCAAATTTTATAAGACTCAGTAAACTTTTAGTTGACAAAGGAAGGCTATGAGAAATAACTTTGATACCATCCATCCACCTGTTAGTCTACCTGGAGTACTGGTTACAAACAAAATATCTCTTCAAAAGTTAAAACCTCGAGTTATTAATAATTCCCAGTGGGATTTGCTGTTTCCTCCGTCTGGCAACCCACCAGATTCCAAAACCTTTGATGTCACATTGCTTACAGTTCTATTCCGGAACATTTGTGGTTTTCCATTAACAGGATGGAGTGTAATGCCTCCGCATACAGATAGGTCACAGCAAGCGAATATCGCAAGAATCAAGTTTTACAGAAATGAAGCTATTGCACATGTAACAACAACTCGAGTTGACAATGCAACATTTCAATTTTTATGGAAGGAAATCTCCCAGGCGATAGTAGAATTGGGCGTTTCACAGAGTGATGTCGACAGTTTAAAAAAATGTCTTCTTGGGCCTGAAGAAGTGGTGTATGTGCAAAAGCTTAAAGATTGGAAACTGCACGAAGATGAGTGTATTAAATTGCTTAAAGTAATTGAAGCTGGTGTAAATAATGTAACACAAGTCGCTGAAGAGACGCGCGATGGAGTAAATGAAACGCGCGATGCAGTATTTGAAATACGCCAGTCATTGGCCAAGCGTAAGCTATCAATACCCGGGGACACCAATCCTGAAAAAAAATCCCGCATGGAAAGTGACGAAGATTTTTTGCGAAAACTTGCTAAGCATAATTTTAAGGGTAAAATTAAAAAAAAAGTGGATTTTTTCCTTCCTGGAACAAGAGAGTGGTTGTTAGTGAAAGTTAACGAGTGGTTTCAAATGTGTGACAACGATTCGAGAATGAAGTTAATAACAGCTGGACCAGGATTTGGTAAAACCGTTTTTGCCGCTAAAATATGTGAAGATTTTGAGAAGAATGGAAAGCTGGCTGCTTGTCACTTTTGTGATTTCAATGATTCAAACCTAAGAGATCCTATGGTGATGCTGCAGTCTCTTGCAAGTCAGATGTGTGAGAATGTCCCTGGTTTTAAAGAGAAGCTTCTTGATCAGTTAAAGCGACGGCATCAAGTGAAAACCCTCGAAGATGCATTTCGAATATATTTGCAAAATCCCTTAGATGAATTGGAAATAAAAGAGCCACGTTTAGTCGTGATCGATGGCTTGGATGAAAGTGCTGCAGATAATAAGAATGAAATTGCGCATTTGATTGCTGAATATTTTCCTGAACTTCCCGAGTACATCAAAATCTTGGTGACGAGCAGGCCAGAGATTTCCGTTGCTGATCTAAAACTAAGAGATGATCAAAAGACAGACATTTCCAATGTTCATGAAAACAATAACTTAGATCTTGAACTTTATTTTAAAGAATGTTTTCCAAGTTTAGTCGGCAGGGAAGTGGATAAAAAGGAGATGAACCGTGATTTCTATAAGGATCATTCATATCTTCACCGCTTTCGGCAAACTAAAACTATAAGTTTACTTTCCATTTTTATTGCCAAGTGCCAAGGCTCATTTCTCTATGCATATCACTTTCAATCTGGGCTAAAAGCTCGCTATGATGTTGAGAAGATAACAAATAATGACGTCATGGAGTTTCTCCCAGAAGGTCTCCATTCTGTTTACGAACGATATTTCAAACGCCTTGAAGACGAGCTTAACGCCATAAAACATGAAAAGTTCGATGTGTTGAATATTTTGGCAATGCTGGTTGTCTCCGAAGAAGGTCTTCCCCTCACTTTCGTCGCTCAAGCTTTTGGTTTAGCTCCAGATTGTCGCGAAACGAAAGTCATCATCAACAAAATTAATGAAACCGTATCATGCTTGTTGTACGTTTCAGATGACAGGTTAACCGTTTTTCACAAATCCTTTATTGATTGGCTTCTAGCAAAGGGCTACAAAGATCACCAGTATACTGTCAAGGTCGATGATGGACATAGATCGCTTTGGCTTTTATGCGAAAATGTTTTTAAAGAAATTGTGAAAGGTGTCCGCTCAGGACTTGAGGTGAAGTTTACTAATGACGTGGAATACGCTCTGAAACATGGTTTAAAACATCTAGAAAAGTGTGAAATGGAGGAAGGTGTGTTTTGGTCAGTTAATGTTATTATCGTATTTTATATGTTAACTGTAAACGATTCAGGCGATTTGGCAAGTTTTTGGCTCACATTACTGCAATGTTCTTTGATTAAAAACGAAGAGTTACGCGCCCGCATTTCGTACCATGTCATTGAATTTGACTCTTTGCATCTTGCCCTGGAACCCCTATGGGAATATTACAAATATCCAAGAAAAGTTTATTCCACAATATTTTCACAATCGTATTTACAAGCGGTTCTTACACATTCTCCAGAAGGTTATTTCAGCGATGATGAGAAGAAAATCGCGGAGACGCTACTATCAAACCTTTCACCTTTTGTCGAGTCGAATTCTTACGAAGTTTCGGTTTTGCCGACAGCAGTCTGGAAAGACATTGGTGACATTCTTCCTATTACAGCTTTTGCTTTATCTAACGATGAGAAAAGTGTAGCAGTTGTAATAGGTAATTTTATACATCTGTTATCCCTACCAAATTTAGTTGAAATTATGAGTTATTCAACAAAATTGGGAAAAAATCCTTGCTGCACATTTTCTCCAGACGATTCGCTCATATTATATGGAAAACTGGAAACGGCGTTTAACATTGCTGGAAGAAAGGAAGTTCCATTTTTCCCTGGAAATGAAGAGACGTTCGAGACCTGTGCATTTTCCCCTAACGGCAAAAAACTGGTGACTAGCGACGGTTCAAACACCATTAAACTATGGGACGTTGCTAAACAAAAAATGCTGTCGTCACTTTGTGCTGAATTTCGTGTTGCTTGGTGTTCTTTTAGCGTCACAGGGTTATTTATTATGGGAAATTCAGAATATCCATCTTATCCGGGTTATTCGGTGTGTGTTTGGAACGCCATCACATTGCAAAGAAGTGACAAGCGAAAGTTGTCTCACGGGGAAAGTGTGAAGCCAGTTGTGTTAAAGAGTAGGAAATGCGAACGATGTTTTCAGCGAGGATTTGAGAAACCAAATTCTAAACAGTTAGAAATAATAAGGTCGAATGGCGAAGATGATAAAAAAAGTTGTATAATTTTACGTCCGTGGATCTGCAAAGGTGTGGAGTGTATTTTTTCTTCGGAAGAATTTTGTTATTCGAGTGTCACAGAAAGTATTCCTTTGACTAAGATTGTCGCTTGGAACTATCTTGTTGCTGCTCCTGACTTTTTTTTCCGCGCAGTCAAAATACCAACTTTAGAAGATAATCTGTGGCTCCATTCAGATAATGAAAAACTAATTGTCTTTAAGACATTAGTTCCTAAACAAGAGCAATCTTGTCTGCCACGGACAACGGTCGTTTATTCAAGTTCGTTTTCTCCTGACGGCTCTCGACTTGCATCCTGCAACTCAGATGGATATATCAACGTATGGGATGTCTATACCAGCCAAGTTCAACAACGTTTCAAAATCAGTCAATGCGGGTCAAGGTTTTTATGCTGGTGGTCGGAAGATTTCTTGTTTGTGATTTGTGAATTTAACGGGGTTTTCTTTTTAACGCGATACCCTGTAGATGAGAATTTAAAGATCATATTTACTGAAAGTCAGCGCATTGTGCATTTTCGTTTGGTTTCCAGGTTTCGCCGCTTGGTTGGTTTCTCTGAAGGCTTTGTCAGTTTGGCTTTTGGAGGCTTCGAACCCGTGAAAGTTCTCGATGTCAGAGATGTTGATGGTCCTGTAATGATCAATTTGCCTGGAATTGACCCTAAGACGAAAGTTGAAATCTCGCCTGGTGGTGCCTTTATCTTTGGTTGTAATGAGAATAAATATTATATTTGGAAAAGAAATACCGAAAAACCAACTTCGTATGAAGTCTTTTACCACTGTGATAGTTCAGGGCTTCGCAAGAAATCAGTCGCAAGTTTCAGTAATGACTCCAAATTCGCTGTATTCATGGAGTGGAGTACTGAAAAGATTGAGATAATTGATCTGAACACTGGTGATTCTCAAAATATAGCGTGTGAATTCGATTCTTTTTATTCGTTCACCAGGTCATTTTGTATTCACAAGAGAGGGATTGTAATAACTTTATTTGATCATATGATAATATTTTTTGACATGGACTCTGGCGCTATTCTCGACTGTTCGTATCAAAGATACTTGAAGGTTTATGAGTCAGAACAAAGAATTAAACTTTCCCCAAAACAGACCATGCTGGCGTTTCCTAACTACAATGGCGATATGGTGTTTCTTCGATTGTCTACTCCATAGAATTCCTTATTTGAAGGTAGTGTTGCAGCTCCTCGCAAGAATGATTTTCATTGGCTGAACTATACAATTCATTTCTGTTTCAACTAATAGCATAGCTTCGCTCTTTACAAAGCATGGAAAAGCATTATCCAATTGGACGAAAGCTTCCGAGAGCTGCGACATGTCCCTTTTTTTACGATATTAAGCAACTAGCAGTTGCTTGGTTGGACGATATTAAACAACAGGAACTTCCTTTGTTGGACGATATAAAGGGAGATGCAGTAGTCAATCATTTCTTTAACCGAAATAAAGTAGTCTCGCGGAAAACGTTTTTAGGAAAATTTACACAAAGCTGTATATTTCTTAAATGTTTGGTTCCCCGCAGGTTGTTTATACCCATTAAATAAGAATGTCTTTATTCCTAAAAATAACTGAAATGAACCCGTTCACACGAAGACGAAAACCAATGGGAGAAGACCTAATTGATGAAGACTTTGTCATGGACGACAGATGTTTTGGAATTGAATTTTCGGTTAGGATATTTCATAATGAATTTAGTGAACAATAACATGAAAAACTATCATCAAGAACATTGTTTTGGGCAGCGGCTAGACTTTGCTTGGAGCTGGTCTAGAATGGAGAAGTAAGACACCTCCTTCCCTCCGTTTGTCTGGGAGTTCACCTTGGGCAAGTGATAGCACTCCCTTGCCTCCCTAACTGGGGTTACAGTTTGTTAAACAAAACAAAGATGATATCTTGAATACATCTGCAAGAAACAAGTTCTAAAAAACTGTGACCAATGCCAGTCGTATGATGGTGTTGTTTAAGATGTTCATCATGGTAGTTACAGTCATGTTGGTGATGATAATTCTCATCTATGATGGTGGTGATGGTGCTGATGATAATTGCCCTGGTTATGAAATAATAGCAATATTATAGTACTTAATAGTAACTGAATTATGGTCAAAACGTCTGATGCTGATGAAAAAGAAAAATATCGGAACTACAAGAACTATGTACATTACAGGGACATTTTATTAGCTGCATGGAAGGGAAGATATTTAAAGTCTGGAGCGCGAACTGGAAAATTGTAAAAACTTGCGAGTTGCGTGAAATTTGAATAATATTATGATCAAGACATTTGGGGCCAGTTGTTCGAAAGGCGTTTAGCTTTGGTGGCTAAGTCAAAGTTTAAAAACGCTCTCATACATCACGTGAATGCATGACTGAAACTACATTTTATGCATTAAACATGTTCTTTCGTTGAAAATTAAACTATATTTACATCGAAATCTTTCAGCTCAGTAGTTCAATAAGTCGATCGTTTTGTTTTCCATTTTGAACTTATCCACCGTTTAAGCTAAACGCCTTTCGAACGACCAGCCCCTGATGTTCATCAAACAACACAACAATTAATATCTTAGGCGTGTTTCAAACGTCGTGTTTTTATCTTTAATGCGTTCGACATTGCGAATTTAGAAACCCTACAGAAGATGGTAGGTATCATAATTTAATATACGGAGGCTGACTATAGATAGCTTATTTGTAAACAAACTAACATCAAGTGGTAGGATTTTATGACTTCGAACGTGCCTGGTCCACACAAGTACAAATGACTAGAATATTGCTGAATATTTAAATATTTGCCTACTGCCAGCATGTAATTTGTATAGATTTGTAATTTTGTAAACCATTTCATGATTTCACTTTGTTGACTGTTGTTGAAATTCTTATTTCGGTGTGTCGTCTTACATCCCTAAAGTTTTATAGTTTGATATCAACTTGGTGGGTAATTATACCAAGTTGCCCGATTGGTTGAATAAATTGGCGACACACCTTCATTAGTGTCCACAAGAAAACAAAAAACTAATGGGATGACTGTATTTGGATACTTTATTTATGCAACCCCCTGACAAGAACCATATTCATCTGGAGACTGAATCAAAATACGGTCTGAGTAAACTTGATATTTGTTTCTTTTTTTGTGAACGTTATGAAAATTTCTACACATTGAAGACAAAATGATTTTTCTGCCAGCATCGGATCGTAGATCAGTTAACTTTATAAATGTATTTTGTGAGCTAGTTTGAGGCTGGGATAATTATTAAAATGCTGAAGATAAGAGGAGTCTCCTTTTCAGGCAAGATGCATTTTGCGTTCACAAAATACACCCGTGAGATATTCAAAATCGTCCAGGGATCGCGGAGGGAGAGAGAGGGAGAAGGTGGATAGTTTTATGTTTTGAAAGTTTTCCTCAGTTTTTCTCTTCCGCACCAAATTGCAAGGAATGTTTTAAGACTGCAACAGTGACTCAGGCATTCAGGGCTCAGACATTAAAAAACACCGATGTCTTTCATTAGCTTCAAAATTTGACCTGATGGTAATCCGGTACCGTGTGAACGGGGCTTTAAGCGTTTTTCATACGCACGTAAACCCACGTAAAAATGCCTTAAAATTTTTTATTATTTGTTAAAATTTGCAGAAAACTCTTTCAATTTATTCTATATTTTCAGTGATAACATGTATAATGATTTAGACTTTCGTGTGTAACGTGCGTATGAAAAAAAAAGCATGCGTGGAAAGCAGTCTTTAAAATAGTAAAAAAGGTAAATTATAACAAATTTTTCACATTCAGACTTAATTTTCGCCACTATCAAGAGAAGTTAGAACTGCAGGTTTGAAAAAGTGTAATTTTTTAAATTATTCCCCAAGGCCTCGATCTTAGCTGAATTTCTCGATGCCCCAGTATTTTTAAAGGCGGTATTTTTACCTGCAATTATCAGCAATTTACAAATCATTCAATAGTTACAAAACTGGAACGATATCTCCCTCATTTTTTATTTCATATTTAATCCCCGAGCCGGTGCGGAGCACCGTGCGAGGGTACTAATTCCGCCCGGAGATTAGGAATTACACCCGGGACCCGGGAGAACATAGCGGAATCCAAAGTACTTATAATAGTCCATTTAATAATTTACAGTTTATAGGTCAGTAACGCAAATAACCTAAATTATAATGCATGCACAATACAAGAGGAAAAAAGAAAATTTACGCATATAAACATAAATATAAACTAGAGAAAACTACTTTATCTAATATTAGAGTTCCATTCCGACAACGAGATATCTGTAGTTGAAGGAATGTTTAAGGTTCTCCAGGAACGACTACCACGAACACACACAACCCTAGCGCGAAGAAGAGCGAAAGCTATCTTCTTACGTAACCAGTTGAGAACGATGGAGGTACTAAAGTTCTTTTTCTCAGCCAGTTTGCCTGCTAGGAACGAAAGGAAGTGAGAAGTCTCCCTTCCACATCCACCATAGGCACTAAAAACGACAGGGGTGAAGGAGCCATGTTCAACTTCAACAATTCTTTGATTATAATGACGTTTCTTCTCACGTTCGTTGGCGTTAAACGAGCTGGTAAGAGTCTGGCGTCGATGTGTCGAAGCGTAAGGATTAAACACCCTGACATCAAAAAATGCTTTTTCACATCTCAAAGTTGCCCAAATGTCATAGACGTTCAATGGTCATGGTACTTGTGCGCATGCGCGAAATGCGAACGAGTGTAGACTGGTAATCAGCAACTTCCTGATTGGCTAAGATGAAACGTTTGTGTTTCAGTGAAAAACGTCAGCAATTTAACTGTCATTTTGCAAACTATTTTTTAAAAAAATGTTTCGAAAACAAAATATGAAATTTGGAATAAAATAACAGATAAAACACTGGGAAGAGTTTAAAATATTATCAGAACTGGAGGAATTAGCGGTGAAAAGGAACAACTCGATTATAATCCTTGAAATGGTAGGAGTCTATTTTGTTTATTTCGAGGTTTATTTCGTGTTTGCTGTACGAATACATTTTATGACCTTGGTACAGTATGTCGTTTTGCTCGGTTTTGCGAAGACGTGACCGACTATTTAAGGCTTTACATCATCGTTTTAACTTCCAAAAGAGTCCTTAAAAGTGTAATTCGGAGTTTTGATATAACAAATATCACTTTAAATGTTTATATATAGTCGACTGCAATCACTGCATGAATTTAATAATCGAAAAACAACATTCGACGTTCACTGCTTGGTTATTTATATTATTTGGGCTGTTTTGATGATTTGAAGGTTTAGCTATAATGAAGTATAACTAAACTGTGAAAGTCTATAACTTAATGCAACGGAAAGCAGCAGGAAAACGGGTGATTTCACTTCACCTTTACGACTGTCAACTATGTTTGTTTCCGAAATATTTGAAACATCAGCTATCGGCTTTACATTTAGGACATTTCATAATATTGAAGGTTAAGTCTGGCTAGCTCAGGAAATATTTTGCTTCCTTTGAAATGGCGAGGGGTTGCTGCATGCATGTATTTCTAGTAGGACATGAAAAATGATATAGATATTGTTCCCGTTGTGTAACTTCAGTTCGCAGAGCCATATAGCTCAGTGGCCACACCCAAAACCCCACCCAGTTCCTGTTCATAGAGATTATAATTTATAAATAACCATAGAGAGTAGAGAGTGGGCATCGAGGAGAAATAAGGGAGCGCGTTATTAATTGGGGGCTAATTCAAGTCCCGGATGATTCACGATGTCCGAGGCCAAAGTAAGTTGTTTTTAACGAGTCTTTTTATTTCTAAATCGTTTTTCCCCTAAAATATCATTTCAGGATGTCTAAGGTAGTAAAACCAGTTTCAAAAAGCACTGTTTTTCCTATTAAATAACCGGCGAAGCGTCCTAAATAACGAATACCGTCACAGATTAACACCCAGATGTCTCACTTCTGACTCAAAAGCGTAAGCGATTCGTCACTGCGCATCGCTTTCTACGCACGCTTAGCAAGTGACTAGAGGCATTCACCCCCCCGAAATAAAATTTCAAAATGGAGACGAACTGAATTGAAGTGAAAAACTGCACGATATGTCAAATGAGTCGGAATATATGTACATTTATTGATTTGTACAGGAAGTTCCATTCAATGTAAAGATATTCAAACACTTTTTAAAAGAAATATGTTTGAAATTATGGAGATTTCTACTGCTTATAATTTTCCGCTCCTACGACAATCGAAAAAAGATAAAACACTCGTACAATATTGAAAACGAGGTACTCTAAACTCACTTTTCCAAAGCGCGTATAGATGATGATGGATTCAGACACAAACGTAACTACACAGTCGCCTTCTCTAGCAAATAAGAGGAGGTTTTTTTTCATGTATAAAATAGTTCGGCTCCATTTTGAATTTTCGGGGGGGGGGAAATGCCTCTAGTCACTTGCTGAGCAAGCGCTTACCACTGACGCTTACGCTTTTTGTGGGTAGCCTGCGCATGCGCGGCTAACCACTATGTAGTCGAAAAAGTGTCCGGATGTATGGATGTTTGTGGGTGCCACATCTTCGGCAATAGCCGGATATACGAAAGATGACGAACGGTACGTTCGTTTTACGATTGCCTATAGTTTTTCTACTTCCGGAAAATTTCGTTGTTTTCGAAGGACGGAAGCAACCGAAGTCCCGTAAATACGTTTGTCGTTTGTCAAATTTTAAAGCGAAGGTGAGTACTTTAAAGTTTGTGTATTTTTGTGACATTTGTTATTTTTATCGCTCGTTTTCTACCGTGCTCGAGGAATTTCGATCACAATCGGATTATTGGAGCGTACATATTATATATTCGGGGCAAACTTGCCTGCACTGACGGTTTGTCAGGCGCTCTACGTGTCGGAGGTGCACGTATCAAAATCAAATAAACTGGAGCCATTGTTGCTCGCACTGGTCGTCATTTTAGATCAGGGTACTATTCACGTGAAAGGCCACGTATCAAAACTAAACCTAGCCATTGTGCAGGTATTGAAATTAAACCCAGCCATTGTGCGGGTATTGAAATTGAACCCAGCCATTGTGCGGGTATATAAAACGACAGCCATTGTGCTGTTATACTCAAACAAACTATTTGACATTGCTGCCAACTTGCAGTTACAACACTTTTTAACAAATATACTGACGACCTTATAATATACCCAAATATTATCTGCCGACTTGCAGCAAATTACTGACAAATAAGACACTTTAAAAAGTCAAGAATTGACATTTGGTTTCTGAGTTCTAGACCATAAATATGGGTGTGACTATTGAAGTTTATCGGGCCAGGATTGGTTCACATCACAATTTTACAGATTGTCGCAACAGTCTGTGTCGTCTTAAAGGTATACTTTGGAATCAATTACTATTAATGTTTTACCTTAATGTATTCTGCTTGCCTTATCTCAAAAGCCAATTGAATAAGAGCCAAAAAAACAGTGAATTATGCTTATGGTATGTTCAAATGGTATACTATAATAATGTTTATGTGCCATTATTACTAAGACTTTCAAATGATGTGGAGGAAAATCCAGGTCCTAGGACTATAAATGATATAGTTGACCCTGCTTGTACAATCCATGCTGATTTTAATCAAGGTAATGACTTAATGTTTGGGGTGAATGCTGGTAAACAGTGTGTTGCCATGTCACTATATGCAATTGTTTACAAAGAAATTAAATCAGTCAATATTTGGGACAAGTCAATTCTAAACACAATTTTAATAAGTGGAAACAGTTTGTATTGTGTTATCAGCCGAAGTATAAATAAGAGTTATTTATTATTAACTGATGTCCCTGAGTTTGTAGACATAGATAATCATACCTTTAATTTGCAATACAGTGATTCCTTTTCAGGAGCATTATATTTGAGTGAAAATAGTTTTCCATATGTGACTCTTGAGCATGCTTTGAATGAAGTATTTTATTCTTTAAACTATAAAAGTTGTTTACTTACAATTGGTATGAACACTGTGGCAATCATGATGCCTTTTCCTGGTGTGTTTAAAGTGTTTGATTCTCATTCTCGAGATATGTATGGTAGACCATCCGCATTGCATTATTGTGTTTTGATATCAGTGGAAGGGATAGAAAATCTTGGAGAGTATTTTCGGTTAACATCAAGGTGCAATGAAGCAAATATTGTGCCATTTGAGTTAAAGGGCGTAAAGTGCATCAATAAAATGATTTAGAGACACTAGTATTGTCTACAGAAGATAATGGAAATACAGATATGACAGATACTACTCAGCTACTTGAACAACATAATGTTAACAGAAAAGAGTTGAACAGTCAAATAATTGGTAGTCAAATAAATACATGTAGGAAAAGGGTGAGACCAGATGAGTCCACTCAGCAAAGGGAAGCTAAACTTGCAAAAAAAAGAAATGTTAAGAAAGTAAGAAGGCAAAATGATTCAGCAGAGGAAAAAGAAGCTAGACTTGCAAAAAATAGAAATGCTGAGAAATTAAGAAGACAAAATGAGTCCGCAGAGGCAAAGGAAGCTAGACTTGCAAAAATTAGAAATGCTGTGAAAGTAAGAAGACAAAATGAGTCAGCAGAGGAAAAGGAAGCTAGGCTTTCAAAAAATAGAAATTATCAGAAAGTAAGAAGACAAAATGAGTCAGCAGAGGAAAAGGAAGCTAGGCTTTCAAAAAATAGAAATTATCAGAAAGTAAGAAGACAAAATGAGTCAGCAGAGGAAAAGGAAGCTAGGCTTGCAAAAAATAATAATGCTAAGAAAGCAACAAAACAAAATGAAACTACTGAGCAAAGGAATGCAACAATTGCAAAAGAGAAAGAAAGAAAGAGAGCTTCTAGAAAAAATACCTGCTTTGAAAAGCAAAAGAAAAGTAATGAATCACATTCAGTTCAAAATATTGCAAATGCTGAGAATTGTTACTTGCCTAGTGAAGATACATTGACACTTGTGAGAAATTTTCATAATTCTGTATCTACAGGACCTTTGTATGTTTGCACTTGCTGTGACCAATTATGGTATAAACATTCTGTTTCTCTGGCAGACAGACTAAGAATGGTCAATCCTGATATAACTAAGTATCTACAAAATATAAAAAGTGTTGATAACATTGAATGGCTTTGTCAAACTTGTAACAACCATTTAACGAAAGGCAAAGTCCCCCCTTGTGCAATTGCTAATGGCATGAAATTTCCAGAAAGACCTTCTTTCTTTGATCTAAATGAACTAGAATGTCGACTTATTGCTCCTCGGTTGGCATTTCAAAAGATTTTTCAGGCCCCAAGAGGTGGCCAACTCAAGATTACAGGTAATGTTGTCAATGTGCCTGCAGATGTAAACAGCACTGTTAATGTGCTGCCCAGACTATCAGATGAGATGGGTACTATTAAAGTTCAACTTAAACGAAGATTACAATACAAAAGCTCTGCACTTTCAATGAATATAAGACCTCACAAAGTAATGCAAGCAACTGCATGGTTAATTAACACAAGTACTTTGTATCAAGATCAAGGGATTATTATAAACCAGAATTGGTTGAAAACCTGGAAGAGTCATTGGATGTGACCAGTGATATTGAGACATCAAATGGTGAAGATGATTTAACATCAAACCTCCCTGAAGATGAATGGAGTGAGGCTGAAGCAGAAATACCAGCTGGAGTAACTGATAGTATGTTGACTCCTCCAGACTTTGTCAGTGATAGTGAGACAGGAAATCTATAATGTTGCTCCTGGTGAAGGTAACAGGCCGTTGAGTATATTTAGAGATCAGTACTCTGAAGAAATGTCATATCCAGGCATATTTCTTGGACAAAAAAGACCTGATGATAAACAAAGGTTAAGAAGTGTTTACTATAGTGACATATGTAAATCTGAGTTAAGAAGATCTGATCGACGAGCTGCCATGTGTGTTGAAAATATATTCTTCAAAGCTAAGAAGTTACAAATGAAATTCTTGATTGGTCAGTCACAGATTGCACTCCGAAAAAACAAAATAGGTACAGAACACTTACTGCTGGAGACCTAAAAACTGCAGAAGGTTTACAAAGTTTAATAAACCATGATGATGGTTTCAGATTCTTGAAAACTCTTAGGGGTTCACCACCTTATTTTGAACGAGCCAAAAAAGACTTGTTTGCCATGATTCGTCAGTTAGGACCAGCATCATTATTTTGCAGTTTCTCGTCAGCAGAAACCAAATGGAATCATTTATTAAGAATTCTTGGTAAACTTATTGATCACAAGGATTATAGTGATGACGAATTGAACAATCTTAATTGGGAGGAAAGGTGTCGACTAATACAAAGTGACCCAGTAACCTGTTCAAGACATTTTGATTTTCAGTTCAATACCTTCTTAAAAGATGTCTTAATGAGTGAGCTTGCTCCATTAGGAAAAATTAAAGATTGGTTTTATAGAGTTGAATACCAACAGCGGGGATCACCTCATATTCATATGTTGATATGGCTTGAAAATGCACCTGTGTTTGGTGTTGATAAAGATGAAGATGTTGTTGCTTATATTGATAGCATAATTACCTGCAGCAAACCAGAAGATGATACAGAATTACTTGATCTTGTAAATAGACAGACACACAGACATTCTCATACTTGCAGAAAAAGTCTAAAAATATTTGTAGATTCAACTATCCACAACCACCAATCAGATGTACTCAGATTCTTTATCCACTCGATGGAGATATCTCTTCAACTGTTGCTAAAGCCAGCAAAGAATTGTGGAAAGAGATTAAAACGAAACTAAATGATTTTAAGGAAGGTAAAGACATTACTTTTGATGAATTAGTACAAGAGTTAGGTGTTTCGGAACGGCAATATATTCTTGCTATACGATCATCTTTGAATACTCCGACAATCTTCTTAAAAAGAAGTCCAAATGAATTAAGAATCAATAATTACAATCCTGTTTGCCTTCGGGCATGGCGAGCAAATATGGACATTCAATATGTCTTAGATGTATATGCATGTGCAATGTATATTGTATCATATATTTCCAAAGGTCAAAAAGGAATGAGTGAATTACTGCGTAAAGCTTGTGCTGAAGCGAAAGAAGGTAATACAAATATCAAACAGCAAGTTCGTGATATTGGCAACAAATTTTTGAATTCTGTTGAAATATGTGCACAAGAAGCCGTGTATATTGTTTTGCAACTTCCAATGCGAAAATCGTCACGTAGTGTAATTTTCATTAACACATCTCCTCCTTCTGAAAGAGTCGAATTACTTAAACCATTGAGTGAAATAGAGAAAATGTCTGATGAATCAGAAGAAATTCAGTCTGGTGGTCTTTTAAAAAGATATGTAGAACGACCTGATTGTTTGCAAAATGTGACGCTGGCTGATTGGGCAGCATGGTACGACTCTAGTGGTCAAAAAACATATAGGAAAACAAACAAGCCTGACGTTGATAACCTTCCATTAGAAAATAATGATGAAGATAATGACGACGAGTTGTTAATAAATGACGATAATCTTCACGTTGTAAAAACTCCTGAAAATATGAAAATAAGGAAAAGATCTCGAGCTAGAGTAATCCGAAGTGTCTGGTTCAATAAAGAGACTCAACCTGAAAAACATTATCGCGAGTTAATTATGCTCTTTACTCCTTGGCGGAATGAACAAACCGATTTAATGGGAAATTATTCCTGTTTTGAAGAACACTATTTAGCTCGAAATGAAGAAATCAGTAAGCAAATGGAACAATATGCTGTTTGTAGTGAAGACTTAAATGAAATTGGACATCATTTAGACGAATGTGATGATGATGCTTTTGATACCATTGCACCTGTGACACAAGATGTTGAACGACATGATCAGGATGAAGGATGCGTGGATACACATCCTGATTTAAACGAAACATTTGATCATCTTGCTGAAAATTTGGGCATTCCGTCTTCTTTACCAAATAATGAGCCGTTGATTTTAAATGAAATGCAAGATAACGAATATCGAACCTTAGTTCAGCTGTTAAATAAGAAACAAAGAGAATTCTTCTATCATGCTCTGCATTTGATAAAAACATCAGATAAACCATTTTACGCATTTCTCAGTGGAAGTGGAGGTGTCGGAAAGTCTCACCTTATTAAATCGATATACCAGGCAGCATTGAAGTATTACAATTCACGAGCAGGGGACGATTTTCATCGTGTTCATATATTATTGCTTGCTCCAACAGGAAAAGCTGCATATCTTATAAAAGGTAACACGATTCACAGTGCCTTGCGCATTCCAGCAAGTCAGTCATTGAAAAATTATAAACCATTGGATTCTGGAAGACTGAATACGATGAGATGCGAACTAAGTTCATTAAAGTTAATATTGCTTGATGAGATATCAATGGTTGGCAACAGCATGTTCACCATTCAATTGAACAACCGTTTGAAAGATTTAAAAGGTAGTAAAGAAGATTTCGGCGGTGTCAGCATAATCACAATTGGTGACTTATTTCAACTCAAACCTGTAATGGATGGTTACATTTTTACAGATGTTCAGTCTTTAAGTTCTTATGATGTTCTTCCCCGAACTTATGGAGAAAATATTTTAGAATGTTTGAGCTTGATGAAATCATGCGACAGAGAGAAAGCAAGATTTTTGCAGAGATACTTAATCGACTTCGTGAAGGTAATCATACTCCGAGTGATCTACAAAAACTAAAGGAAAGATGTATTGAAGAGAGTGCTTGCCCCAAAGAAGCCCCACGTTTATTCATTCAAAATGCTTTAGTTGATGAATACAATGATATAGTTTATCAATCATTTGATGATCGTGATAAATACATAATCAGGGCACAAGATAGCGTAATTGGAGCCTGTTCAGCTGAACTGAAAGAAAAGATAATGAGACAAATACCACATGTTCCTTTGAAAAATTCAAAACAGTTGGCTTATAAACTGCATATTGCTGTCGGACAACGAACAGAAATTGCGGTGAATATACGCACTGATGATGGTCTGACAAACGGTGCAAGTAATGTCATTAAGCATGTTCAATTGACTGATAATACCAAACCTTCTGGCATCGTTTGGGTTCAGTTTGACGACGAAGATGTTGGAAAGAAAACCCGACAAGAAAATAGAATTCTCTATGCTCGAAGTACATCTATACTAAGTACTTGGACACCAATAAAACCTGTTACAACGCAATTTGCTGTAGGTAAAACGAAGTCTGCTCAAGTGGTAAGAAAGCAATTTCCTTTGAGGCCAGCTGCCGCAAAAACGGTTCATCGATCACAAGGTGATACTCAGTCACATATCGTCGTTAATTTAAATACAAGAAGAGCAATTCCTCATATTCATTACGTCGCTCTAAGCCGAGTAACAACAATCGAAGGGCTATATATAACTGATCTTTGCGAAAGTAAGATTTCCGTTGATGCTAAAGTCGTAGAAGAAATGCACTTACTGAGAAATGAGTATAAATTAGATCTTTGTTTTACTCCGTTGTATATGCTGAATCCCACTGATTTAAAAATTTGCTATCTTAATGCAAGATCTTTGCACAAACACATTGAAGATGTACGAAAAGATATTAATTATACGTCTGCTGATATCCTAATTTTTACCGAAACGAGATTTCGTGAAGAAGATCCTGGTGAAATGTACGCAATTGAAGGCCATGAGTTATTCAGAAATGACGACGTTTCAAATCTCAACCGTCCATATCATGGAACAGCTGTTTATTCTAAACTTCCTATGATTATTGGATATCCTTGTGCAAGAAACTGTCATGGGATCGAGGTAACTATTATGAAGATGGTCGAACGTCCAGACCTAATTGTAATTGGAATATACAGATCTCCAACACTTGCATTATCATCTCTTTTGGCTGCCATTTCTACGACATTGGAGGAACATCCTTCTCCACAGGTTATAATCATTGGAGACTTTAATGTCAACTGGCTTGATGAGATAGAACGAAGATCACTGTACAATCTTATGATCAATACCAATGGCCTCGAGCAACTTATAACTAGTTCTACAACAGATAATGGAACATTGATTGATCATCTGTATACGAATTTGATTGAAGAGGATATCCAGGCAGGTACTCTTGAAACTTACTTTAGTGATCACAAAGCAATTTGGGCCTCTCTAAAGATAGGGAGGTAATCACATCCAGACATAGCGTTAGCATGTTACAAGAAAAACCATAGTATTGACATGGTAAGATGAACCCAGGTAAGGAGGTAATCGCGTCCGACTATAGCGTTAGCATGTTACAAGAACAACCATAGTATTGACATGGTTAGATGAACACAGGCCAATATTTATTGGCCTGGCTCAAATTTAACAAAAGGTAAGCATTTAATTTTAAGGTTTTTTTTCATTTTCTTTTCCCATGCAATTTGACCATTTCCCTTTATTTTTAGGTTCCGGTGGCATATTTTCAAATTATTCACACGATGTCGAAGCTAAAACACTAATAATTTAAAGGTAAATAATAGATTCGTATTGCATACTAGCTATACATATGCGTTTGTTTCTTTGATAACGCGAGTTTTTTCTTTTTACAGGTCTGAATCAGCTACAATCACAAAGACGTTTTAAAAATGTCAGCGTTGCTTGTTGCCAACCGCGTGGATCAACGCTAAATTAATCCGAAGATAAAAAGACCACAACGCATATATCGGAAATCCTCGTTCGTCTTTCCAGACATCTTCTCTCCACATACCGCAACTGTAATCTGTTCATCGCAGCAACGAATGCCAAACAAGAACAAAGTTCTCTGGTAACCTCACTCGTAAATGCTACTCATACCTTCATGGTAACTACTACTGAGCAATACACATTCATATCAATGATGATTGATGGCATTCAATGTTGACTGATTGTCGGACAGATTACCACAGGGATAAGAAATTGTCAACTGATAAATTTAAACTTGCAAAAAGCCACGCAGTTTTTGGACCTACGAACTGGTGCTATTATGTCCAGCTAATTGGTGCTGATAAGTTATCTGTAATCAACATTGCAAACCACCTGTACCTTCCTACTGGATCAATGAAATCATCCTATCATCTTCAGTTATAATCGTGAAACGTATTGTCAATAAACTTTGGCAAACAAGTGGTATAATCTTACTGGAGCAATAACGTTTAACCTTTATTGACTATTAACATAACTATAACATTGATTTATCAACAAAAGAACCAATCTTGTATGTAACAAAGACATGCTGATAATCAAGGGACATCAAAACGAAATAATTTGAAGAAGTCTGAAACCTTCTTTTTCTCCTTCTAAACTAAGCTTTATGTTATCAGACGATGTGTGCCACCATCTCGGAACCTTACTCTCTTTTTTGTTCTGTTCACCTATTCTGCTTAAAAATATTTCATTTCCTATCTCTTGTAAAAATGCTTTTATATATGTTTTAATCTGTCGTAAAATGTATTTAATACAATAAAATATTATAATATATAGATTGTGTAATAAATCGACTTCGTTATAACTGTATTCAACCAGCTAACTATAGCGCGTTTATTCCGTTGTCTATGGCATTAGAACATAAGACTAAAAATATTGCAGTTAATCATGTTTTACAGGCTACCCACATGTACGCATTGCGTACCTATTTTTATAACACAGGACATCAATTTTAAAACATTCACTAATTTATTGAGACCATAGTCAAGAAATATCTTTTAGGGGGAATATAATCATTTCATTCATTTCCTACATATCCATTTTAAACATTTCATTTGACCCATTAATTGTTAGGAAAATTGTTTGGCAACAGATTTGGTTGAAACCATCCTGGAACTGGATAATATATTCTAATATATTCTTCATGCAACTTCGAATGGTATTACGTTTTATAGCTAAAACCCACTATGATCATGGTCAAACAATATATGTTATATCAGTGCCAATATCACATGACTAAAAGACTGAGATATATTTCACTAAATTTATAAATCATAATTTGAGTTTTCCAGTTTTTTTAATCTTACATCCACATGCCATCGCATTTTACACTATGTGCATTTATTGTTATGGTTTCTTTCTCGTGTATAATACCAGCTTGTATACAGTTAATTGATAAAAAGTCATCCTCTGGCTCTCATGTTAACTATATATTTAGACTTCACCATCTGTTCCAACCAAAAGTATCTTAACAAATACACTGGTCATTGATCAGTCCATCTAGTACAACAATATCTGTCAATCACGGAAATAAATTATCTGTCAGTTCAGCAATACTTAAGTTGCAAATATTTTCATTCATGAGGTTGCAGCTTAATCAGACCCAATGCAATCCCAGCTAATGTTTGACAGAGTTCTCTATGGCTTAGTTGAGTATTTTACATAATGACATTTCATGTAACCTTGGAAATCAATATTTGTCACAGAAACATTATTAAACCAGAATTACAGATTGCAAGTGAAATGTTGCAAGTAAATACTGAGGTGTCGTCTCTAGGGTGGTTGGGTGGTCTTCATGACAGTAATTGTATTTCTTATAAACTTAAATTTGTTTATATTTTCATAGGCTGGCCCTGCATTTATGACCATGGTCAGTTTGGTTTGCAGTGTGATTAACCAGAGGCATTTTCTCTGTAAACCAGAAATCATTAGAACAGTCATTTACGTATTAACACAACATAAATTCTCAGCCAAGTTTGACGAGCCATTGCGCGTTTGTAAAAAAATTTCCAGCTTCCCTAACACCGTCATGGCTGATCCCTGCACAAGATAATATTTTTATTTAAAGTATGATTCATGACATTCTGTCAACAATGCGTGTGATGAAATCTCTACTGAGACTGAGTGCTTGTGAGGTTTTAAATTACAATCAGTTTCCGTGTTTGTTTAAATATATCTACCTCGTGAGTATCTTCTGCGAATTTTGGTACATTTGTGTGAAATTTTAGCCATGTATTGAGATAATCGCTTTCATGACTTGAAAAGGTATGTTTATGGCAGTGTTAGTCGTGTTTTTTGAAGAGTAGAAATGATTTTATGTCATCAACACAGTGAAGTCGTCACAGTCGTATAAGGTCTTGCCACAACACAGCGCTTTGTCTGTGGCGCCGTGAAATAAAATTGCAAATTTCGTATTTTTCTTCCTTTCAATGTTCTTAAAGTGAGGTTTCAGGCGTTTGAGATGTGATTTATGGTTCGCTGATTTATGATTCCACATTGCGATAAAAAGAGACATGCTTTTAAATTTTCGCGCATGATGTTAAATTCGTAAACGTAGTTGCTAGTCTATCTGCATGATGGCCAAATATTGGTCTGCATAATGCCGAAATGGTGGCGTTGTCAGTATACTCGTGTGAACTAGAGACTTGAAATACATTGCACATTTCTCGCTTCTTTAAACAAAAGGAATACAATTCCAAATTTGTTAACTCATCGCCAGAATAATATGATGTTACCGACCTTCCTATGCCATTGGAGTCATATCCTGCAGCAACAAATTTTCAGACTACAGTTTAAGACCCTCGTGTGACTATAGAGACGCATCATCCGTCTGTTATTATAAATACAGGGTATTAACCAGTAAACAGCTCTTGTACACGCGCTTTTTGCCACGTAAATATTTTCTAGAATATTTTCCCATTTTCGATGGACTTAAGTAAGGCGTGATTTTGTTTATGTTCGACATATTCGTCTACATATGGTTTTGCCCATGTAGATTATCACATTCTAAATTTTGAACTAGTACGTTTGTTATTATCAATGATTTATCAACAACCCGGTAAAGCAGACATGCATAGTTGGTTGTATGTGCATGTAGGTGCGGAACAGCGCTGTGGCGTCGTATTGAATAAACTTGCATTATTAAATGTCTGGCACTGCACAGCGCTTCGTCGCGTTGTGGTCTTGTGTGATACTGATACTGGAAAAACATTCCTCGGGTTTTTTGCATTTTCTAAAAAATTTGTGTTTTCCGATCTTATATAAATATACCGACCTTGTTGAAAAATTCGGACTAGAAGTTTGTTAAGTTTACGATTAAAGTTCGATTTTTAGACTCTAAACTCCTAACATTCCATCGCGCGGTCAATGACGTAGGAAGTGTGACACAGCTCTACCTTTTGATATGTATTACTACGATGTTATATAGCTGCGTCTATGTAGAATTGGGATTCTGGAGCGATTTTGACGAATCCGCTTTTTGTAGTCATGAATTTTAATTTATAGACAGAATATAATTACAACATGAAGAATCGTAGCAGCCAAAAATGCACTTTTTTGCGCGAGAGACTATATACCGCATCTTGAGGTTTCAGACGTACCGCGTACATACCGCATATTATGTAAAAGTATGATATCAACTATTGTAGCTAAACAATGTAGAGTAGTAACTAATACTAGAAAATTGCATTCCTAAAATTAATACGAAATATCTACATTAAGACTGAATATGTAGGTTATCTATCTATATTACTGACATCATATCATATTGATATTACACCGCATACGCGTGCATGGTATACCATAATTAATGTTATGGAATTTGTAGCTGCTTCAAACGCGATATACTTATTATATAATTTGCGTTCACTCACAATCACTCGTGATGCTCACATTGCGTGTTTTTGCACTTAAAATAAACCGGAATTTGATTAGTATTTTCTCATACATATCACGTTGAGGGGATATCGATGCATAAATTTCCCGCAAATGAAGAACAGAAGAAAATGTGGGTAAAATTCGTGCGAAAACATCGGCCGAATTTTACTCCTACGAGTTCTTCAGTAATATGCTCAGCACACTTTGAGAAATCTTGCTCCAGAGCACGATATCACATTGTAAATCTCCCTTAAATCTCGATTCAAACGTTTCGCGAAGAATACCGTCTTCGTCCGTTTCCTCTTCCTCATATTCGCTATCTGCCAGTGGCTCAAATTGGTAAGGCTGAACAACAGACGATTGCTCAGTGATGTCCTCATTATCTGATCACCCTTCTGTCTCCGTCTGTGACTCGAAGCTTTCGTTTTCTGACATTTTTTAGGCACAATATTAAAAGCTTTGGGTGATTGCGTGATCTTTGTTATTTTGCTATACTAAAACACGTCGACGTGTCACACTACATACGTCACAAGAGCCAAAATTCTAGGTACCAGTCTTTCGCCAGTGAATAGTCTCAAAATCGAACTTTAATCGTAAATTTCACAAACTTCTAGTTCGAATTTTTCGACAAAGTTGGTATATTTATGATCGGAAAAGACGAAATTTTTAGAAAATGCAAAAAACCCGATATCGAAATTTTCATTTCATATACACTTTAAACCTACTATTCTAATATATTTCAGGTTATCGCCACTCATTTTATTTATATCAAAGACCCTGAATCTTTCGTTCTGTGTATACACCGTTGCAATTGATTATTAACTAATTCAACATTCCTTGAAACGAAATATATATTTTATACACTATAATCGACCTTATTTTTACAATGAAATTAATAATATGAACTTTCTGCTAATGAAAATGACCCCCTAAATATACAAATTCCATTACTACATGACACTCGCACGACATTCTAAGGTCTTTTCTAGGGAATCGTTATGTGTAGTGTGTGTTGAGCGTGTGGGGGGGGGCTGAACCAAATAACTAAAAATTGATTTACAGGTGCGGGAGTAGTGGGGGGTTTCGAGCACCTTCCCCAGAAATTTTTTTCTATTTTTGAGTCTCAATGACTTGATTTCCTGCATTTTCCAATATTCCACTGTCAAATTGACTCCTTTCCTTCCTCAGAGGCTTTCAACCAAGAATTTATAGTCTGTTTATATCACAAGAACAAAGCTGTCTGAAAGATTTAAAACTGAAAAAGAAGAACAAACTAGGTAAGGTGGATTAGTTTGACATAAGTTTTGAAACTATAAAATGACTGGAATAAAACTACCAGGCGGAGTTCGCTTTTACGTCTTGTACATCCAGTTAACCAAATAAGCGCGGTGCAGTGCTCTGGCGTCGTATCAAATAGTTCGAATGCCTTGTTTTGAAACTTCCATTCATCTCATCTTATGCATTGTTGATCTTCAAAACAATGTAATAAGTTGTTAGACAATTACTAAGCATTTAATCGAGATCATATAAAAATTATTTTTACGAAAGCGTACTGTATAACTCCACGTTAATGAGCGGAATATGGAATTAGGCAATAAACCGGTTTTATGACGTAATTCTAAATACATCTAAATCTAATCCTAACCTTTATTCAAGGAATAAACTTGTGTATTTAGGATTTACCGAACATGGAATTATTACCAAATTAGTGACGCCACATGAAATAAGTATATTTAATTGATTAATATAGAATTGCATGACCGCATTGACAAGTATCGCTTGGCATTAGCTTTGACTAATTCTTCTACGACTACGACTGTCAATTAAGAAGACAGCGACTTCGAATCGTTTTTATGTTTTAATTCCTTGTATAAATTTATTTTCACCATCTCATTGTTGCCTTCAGAAGTTCATTTCAGCTGATATTTATATTGGCACAGCAATAACTAACCAAATATAAACATAATTTAAGTTGGAACGGAAATATCTATAAAACTACCGATAAATATTGAATGAAAAGTATTTCACATGAAATTATTTGATCATCGAGCACTAGAAAGTGTTGGGATCATCAGCATGTATCATTTACTCATGTGCGATTTTCGAGTGTCAACGTTCCTCTTAAAAATGCATGTGTTAATATGTTTGTGTGGGCGCATTGATATTATTGACAATGGTTAATTTGTTTTGAATTGGCTTTTTCAGTAAAATATCGTTAGTTTATATTTAAAGTACTTGGAGTTGAACTCAATGTTTGAAGTCAACGTTAGTTGTGGTTTTACCAGGTTTCAAAATATATATCAGAGATCTCGACACAAGATGAAATCAGTAATACGAAGTAATTACGCGCATTAGGCCGATGCATTTAACACCACGAGTATTTTACGACATTGAGTTGAACAATTTAACCAGCAGGATACCATCAGAGTGTTTGGTTTATTCTTGTCTGCTGGATTTGTGAACATTTCTTTGCGTTGATCAATTTATTTGTGGCCTAAATCTGTGGAATTATGTCTACGTCGTGAATGATCAGATTTCGTAGCCATAGGTACGTTTTTATCTCTTTCTTGAAGATTGTAAATAATTTTATATCTTCAACAGCGGAAGTATGCTAGGCCCGGCACAGCGCTGTGGCGTGATATTATAACGTTCAGCAAAACCTTGAATAAAATCAATCGTAAATTTCTTTTCTAATATCCGTCATTCGTCTTACTATAACATATCATGTTATTTGTCTATAATTTCGCTTTTGCAAATTGTTTTTCGTGACCGTAATAATATTGACATAAAGGCGGTGGAATTACGTCATGGTGCGTAATGAATATGCCACATTTATCTTTCATATGTTTCATCTGACGCCGGAGAACTAGCGCTTTGAATAGAACTTCATGTTTTAACAATAATCCTGTTTTTTCATTCTGACCAACTAGATTCTTATACAAGTCTCAGCTTATTCTGCTATCAAATTGTTCCTTTCCTTCTGCGGAGGCGTTCAACCAAGAAATTATAGTCTGTTTATATTACAATAACACAAGTCTTTGAAAAGCCTAATTAAAAAAGCTAAAAGTATATATCTGCTTTGAAATGAATAGCTTTTGCAAAGAAATCCTGTAAATTGGAAGCAATAAAACGACTCGATTGACAACTATCACACGAAGTAAGCTTTAGGTCGACAAATTAAATAACCACGGCACAGCGCTCTGGCGTCGTATTAAAAGCTTCAAACCGGCTTTGTTTGATATCTTAAGTTTTCTCATCTCACGCATTGTTAGTTTCTAAAGCCACGTATTAACTTGCTGGATAATTACTAACCACACGTCGTGTTTGACAAATAAGCTTCATCTTTAATGATCGTTTATGGTGGTTCGTTTAATGAAGTCGAAGGTAGGAAAATAAGGAATTGTTAAAGGCTGTTTGTATTTAAAGAGATGATGTAATATGTGAAATGAAAGAATCTATGCAATACTTCATATCGCTATAGTCCAATACGAGATGAAATCAGTTAAATGAAATATTTACAAAAAGCATTAGACATCGCAACTTTGCATCCCTCTTCCCTGGCTGAAATTATAAAGCTATAAACATATACCCAAGCTCAATAAATAGCCAGCAGGATAGAATAAAGTGATTTGTGTTTTTTATGAGCAAGGTTCGTGTACATTTCTGAGCATCTGTCAGTAGCTACATTTCTGACTAAATTCTGTAGAATATATAGACGCTGTAATTGAATTGTTGCCTCAAGATTTAAAAAGTAGAAATTACAGTCCGTGCACTTCTAAAGATCATAAATTGTTGCCCGACACAGTGTTGTATCGTTGTGATAAGACGTTACTTTAAACAATGTCGCAAATTGCGTTTCTTTTATTTCCCCACCTGCCTATAGCAGTTGATGTTGGTAGTTAAAAAATGGCGTGTTTTATTTGGTATTTTAATCCGATTTGAGTGAGGGTCTGCCTCGAATATTCTTTGAACATGAGTGAGCAAATGATGCGAAGTTTCACGTATTTCTAGCAATTGCAAAGCCAGCACATATAGTGAACAATCAATTCATTGAGAATAGTGTGTTGATTTCTGAGTTGGATCAGTGTGACCAGATCTGGTATATTTTTTACCATATCCGGACAGATGCATAGACAGCCCCACTTGATTTTAATAATTACCACATTTAGGGGCAAGCCCCGTAAGTGAGATACATTTTTTCGTATATTGAGACCGCGGGCTGGCCCGTTTGGCGAGTTTACGTTTTAAGTTTTGTATTCCAGCAAACAATCAATTACTTGATGCTCTACCATATCCGCCTGCCATTTAAAGTTCTTTCGTTTGGGTTTTTGGACCGTATTCACTTTTTCGGCGACTACTGAAGACACAGAAGCTTCACAGGTTTCGGCCGTTTTAAAAAACCACATGAAAACGTACATGATCCGCATGTGTACATTACGAATTTTCATCCTGGCAACCGGACCAGCCCGCTTGCGTGTGCTGACATGGAGAAATCTTCATCTCGGTAAGCGAGATCTCGCTTGTTCAAAGCGATATATCGGCAAGCGGGCCAACCCGTTTGGCCATATGAACGCAAAACATTTTTTCTATAAAATCTACAATGTAATGAGATCCCGCTTACAGGTGATAGGGCCAGCCCGGTCTCCATATAAACAGCCCCTTAGACCGGTCAAACTAGATTGAAAGCAAAAAGAAATCAATGCCATTTCTTGACTAAAAGTTTTTTGACCCCACGACCACGTGTTTTTTTCCGAGTTCATTTCTGCAAAAGGAATCCTTTCGTATAAACTTAGTTTAAGTTCCATCCGATTGTCCATGCACGATGATCAGATAATGTGGTTGTATATATGAAGAATATTAAATTGTTAAAGATGAGAAAAATCATGATCAATTCAGTAAAATGAATTTGTATTTGATAGTCTAAAATATATAGCCTAAAAGTGAAAAATTAACAATAAATTAGAATTTAGATAAACAATATATAACAATATATTATATTTAACCCCATTCTCTTTCTGGGTGTGCCCTATATAATTAAAAAAACCATTGTGATATTTTGTTACAGTAATTAATTGTGTCTAATGCCATGGATTCTGACGAACTGCAAGAAAAAGCAAATTTTACAAGACTCAGCAGACTTTTAGTTGACAAAGGAACTGAGGCTTTGAGAAATACATTTGACGCAATCTATTCACCTGTTAATCTACCCGGAGTACTGGCTGCAAACAAAACAACTCTTCAAAAGTTAAAACCTCGAGTTATTAATAATTCTCAGTGGGATTTACTGTTTCCTCCGTCTGACAACCCACCAGATTCCAAAACCTTCGATGTCACATTACTTACAGTTCTATTCCGAAACATTTGTGGTTTTCCATCAACAGGATGGAGTGTAATGCCTCCGGATACTGATAGGTCAACGCAGGCGAATATCACAAGAATCAAGTGTTACAGAAATGAAGTTATTGCACATGTAACAACAACTCGAGTTGACAATTCAAGATTTGAGTCTTTATGGAAGAAAATCTCCCTGGCGATAGTAGAATTGGGAGTTTCACAGAGTGATGTCGACGATTTAAAAAAATGTCCTCTTAGGCCTGTAGAAGTAGTGTATGTGGAAAAGCTTAACGATTGGACACTGCACGAAGAAGAGTGTATTAAATTGCTTAAAGCAATTGAAGCTGGTGTAAATAATGTAACACAAGTCGCTGAAGAGACGCGCGATGCAGTAAATGAAACGCGCGATGCAGTAAATGAAACGCGCAATGCAGTAAATGAAACCCGCGATGGAGTAAATGAAACGCGCGATGCAGTAAATGAAACGCGCGATGCAGTAAATGAAACGCGCAATGCAGTAAATGAAACGCGCGATGCAGTAAATGAAACGCGCGATGCAGTAAATGAAATGCGCCAGTCATTTGCCAAGCGTACTTTATCAATACCCGGGGAAACCAATCCTCCAAAAAAATCCCGCATGGAAATTGATGAAGATTTATTGCGAAAACTTGCTAAGCATAATTTTAAGGGTAAAATTAAAAGAAAAGTCAAATTCTTCCTTCCTGGAACGAGAGAGTGGTTGTTAAAAAAAGTTGACGAGTGGTTTTGTAGCAGTGAGAGTGATTCAAGAATAAAGTTAATAACAGCTGGACCAGGATTTGGTAAAAGCGTGTTTTCCGCTAAAATCTGTGAAGATTTTGAGAAGAATGGAAAATTGGCTGCTTGTCACTTTTGTGATTTCAGTGATTCAAACCTAAGAGATCCTATGATGATGCTACAGTCTTTCGCAAGTCAGATGTGTCAGAATGTCCCTGGTTTTAAAGAGAGGCTTCTTGATCAGTTAAAGCGACCATATCAAGTTCAAAATCTCAAAGATGCCTTCCAAATATATTTACAAAATCCCTTAGATGAATTGGAAATAAAAGAGCCACGTTTAGTCGTGATCGATGGCTTGGATGAAAGTGCAGCAGATAATAAAAATGAAATTACTCATTTGATTGCTGAATATTTTCCTGATCTTTCCGAGTACATCAAAATCTTGGTGACGAGCAGGCCAGAGATTTCCGTTGCTGATCTAAGACTAAGAAACGATCAAAAGACAGACATTTCCAATGTTGATCGCAACAATAACTCGGATCTTGAACTTTATTTTCAAGAATGTTTATTTGGTGTAGAAGTAAAAAGCAACGGGAACCCTGCTTTGAAAGAAATTCCACATGATCTCCGATTGCGTTTGTATAAAATGAATAGTTTACTTTTCAAATTTGTTTCCAAGTGCGCGGGCTCGTTTCTCTATGCTTATCACTTTCAATCTGGGCTAAGGGCTCGCTATGATCTTGAGAAGATAACAAATAATGACGTCATGGAGTTTCTCCCAGAAGGTCTGCATTCTGTTTACGAACGATATTTTAAACGCCTTGAAGACGAGCTTAACGCCATAAAACACGAAAAGTTCGATGTCTTGAATATTTTGGCAATGCTGGTTGCTTCCGAAGAAGATCTTCCCCTCACTTTCGTCGCTCAGGCTTTTGGTTTAGCTCCGGATTGTCGCGAAACGAAAGACATCATCAACAAAATTAATGAAACCGTATCGTGCTTGTTGTACGTTACAGATGACAGGTTAACCGTTTTTCACAAATCCTTTATTGATTGGCTTCTAGCAAAGGGCTACAAAGATCACCAGTATACTGTCAAGGTCGATGATGGACATAGATTGCTTTGGCTTTTATGCGAGAAGGTTTTTAAGGAAATTAAAGATAAAGGTGTTCGCTCAGGACTTGAGGTGAAGTTGACTAATGACGTAAAATACGCTCTGGAACATGGTTTAGAACATCTAGAAAAGTGTGAAATGGAAGAAGGTGTCTTTTGGTCAGTTGATGTTATTATCGTATGTTGTATGTTAACTGCCCTCTCTCAAGATCATTTGCTGTTATACTGGGAAAGAATTCTTCAAAGCTCTGTAATTAAAAGTGAGGAACTACGTAACCGCATTTCGTGGCATGTCACTGAACTTCGCTTTTTGCCTGAAAGCGTGCTAGATTTTAGCAAACTGGATTCAACACCGTTTCCAAAATCACTGCCGATAAATTTAAAATCGTATTTACAAGCGGTTCTTACCCTTTCTCCAGAAGGTTATTTCAGCGATGATGAGAAGAAAATCGCAGAGACGCTACTATCAAATGATTTACCATTTGTATTTTTATAAAGTTTGGGTTTTGCCGCCAGCAGTATGTAATCCAGGGTCTTTGGTTACAGTGTGCCACAGTATTTGCTTTATCTGAGAATAAGAAAAGAATAGCAGTTGGAATAAATAATTTCATGTTATCCCTACCAAATTTAGTTGAAATAATGAATTACTCAAGAAAATTTAAAAGAAGTTTCTTGCTCCAGAAATATTGTTCTTCTCATAGCATTCAGAAAATGGAAACGGTGTTTAACATTGCGAAGAGAAAGGAAGTTTCATTTTTTTCTTGAAATGAGGAGACGTTCGGGTCCGGTTAATTTTCTCCCCGCATGTTTTTTATACGAATTAAATGCGAATGTCTTTGTTCAAAAAATAACTGAAATGAACACGTTCAAACGAGGACGAAAACCAACAGGAGAGAAGACTTAGTTGATAAAGACTTTGTTATGAACGACAGATGTTTTGGAGCTGATTTTTCAGTTAGGATATTTCTTAATGGATTTATTGAACAGTAACATGAAAACTATGATCAAGAACATTGTTTTGGGGAAGCGGCTAGACTTTGCTTGGAGCTGGTCTAGAATGGAGAAGTAAGACACCTCCTTCCCTCCGTTTGTCTGGGAGTTCACCTTGGGCAAGTGATAGCACTCCCTTGCCTCCCTAACTGGGGTTACAGTTTGTTAAACAAAACAAAGACAATATATTTAATACATCTGCAAGAAACAAGTCCTAAAAAACTGTGACGAATGCCAGTCGTATGATGGTGTTGTTTAAGATGTTCATTATGGTAGTTACAGTCATGTTGGTGGTGATAATTCTCATCTATGATGGTGGTGATCGTGCTGGTGTCTACGATGGTGCTGATAGTAATTGTGCTGGTGATGAAAATAATGGTAGAAATTGTAGTAACTATATTAGCTGTATTTTGTTCACGAAGTTTGATGCTGATGAAAAAGAAAGATAACGGAACTCAGTGGCGTCAAGCACTAGAACGATAATTGGGGGGGTGGGAGTTGATTATTCATATATTCAGTTTTGCCCGACGGATTTCTTTTTTAAGTGCAATAGCTTAAAATAAAAATCCGTCGGGCAGAACCATTGAACTGTAAACACACTGGAACGATAACTCATGGGGGTGGGATGAAACCAGTGCTGTTTACTTTTTCTGAGTTTTGAGCTGAAATACTTGACGGCAAATGTTGAGCCGTATATGAAATTAAAGCTATTAAAAAGTTATATTTCGTGTAGAAATTTCGAGACTTTAGCTTACAGTGAAATGTCTAAATAATATTAATTTTCAAAATTTCCCGGTTTTTTGCCGGTTGGTAATTGTTTTTTTTTAATATTTCCTTTGTAGTTGTAGTCTTGAAATTTCTACACCAAATATAACTTATCAATAGCTTTAATTTGACACACAGCCCAACGTCTGGCGTCAAGTATTTCGTCTCAAAACTCCGAAAAACTATTTTGTCTTCAAGCTGAATACGGATATTTGTCGTTCCAGTTGTATAGAGTTCACTGGGCAGAACTGAATATATGAATAAACACCACCCAATTATCGTTCTAGTTTCGCCCGTAATGGAACTACAAGAACTATGTACATTACAGGGAACGTTCGTTTTTTAGTTGGGAAGGAAGATATTTGTAGCCTGAAGCGGAAATAAATTCCCCGAGTGGAGACCCAGCTGATGTGAATATTTTCTATGAGAATGAAATATCTGTATAAGGCATACGAATGGGAGAGCTTTGTTTTGTTAACTAATAAAACGTGGTGTCTTTAATAAACGAACACGCAACTATATTGATCTGTAAGCAAACTAATATCAAGTGTTGAAATAGGATATTATGACTTAGAAAATGCCTGGTACACACAAGTACATAGCGGCTTGATATTTAATCATAGGCTATTGCCAGCATTTATTGTAATTTGTATAGATTTGTAATAATTTGTAAACCGTTAACCAATTTATTACATAATTCATTCAGTTGTGAATTTTCTAATTTTCTATACCTGTGGTTGTTAACGTTCTTATGTAACGCGCAGTCAATGAGTGTAAAAGTTTTCTGGTGTGATATCACCTTGGCGAAATATCACCTTGGAGGTAATTACACCAAGAACCAGGGTTGCCAGATTGGCTGAATAAATTAGCAGAATCATTATTACCTTCGAGAAAACAGAGGAAACAACAGAAACCAATCAAGGGATATTCGTGACCGCGAGGTCTTTCTAGGAAATTGTCAGGTGAGATTTTGGGTGGGAGCGGAACCAAATAGTTCCAACTGTAAAATTGATTATTTATAGATGCGGGAATTGTGGGGGGTTTGGAACACCTTCTCTAGAAACTTTCTTTGTTCAATCTTATTGAATATCGTCACATTATTATTATTAACCGCTGAATTTCTCTCATATCGGATTTGAACGAGGGTTGGCCTCGAATGTTCTTTGATTTCATCGGCAATTTTTTATTGTTGATCATGCGCAGATTAAATAATTACTGCAAAATGGCGGGAAAGAACAGTAGGAAAAGCTCTGGTTGGATACGAAAACAAATGTTTTAATAGAAACCTAGGGTGCTGAAGTCATTCAACAAGTTATAAAATGCAAAAATACCGACACAACACGAACAAAAAGATTCTTTTTTTGTTCGAAGGATAAATTTTTTAGAAGGCCTTTATGGCTTGATTACCAGATGATCTAACAAGTTGTCTTTATTTCCTTTATTTTGTCAACTAAACCATGTTCATTTGCTTCAATTGATGCATCTGTGCTTTGTTAATCTGCTGACATATATAGCAACTGCGGTGTAGTTATGGGTGCCAAAAATATTCTATTGGGTGCTTTCTAAAATTTTGTGGTATTAAGGCCTAAAAAGAAAAACAACGCGTAAACAGGCTTAGTTACGGCGCCAATTTCTTTTGGCCTGCCTTGAAAAAATTAAGCGTGCCGTACCAAAAATGTTTGTTCTTTAAACGGGGCTAAGTAAATGGAGTTTCTCTGCATGGGTTCTTGCCTTGGTCCGCTACCGATATTCTGATATTGATTAAAATTCACGTAAAGGCTTTTTGACTGGTTCTGCAGAGTGTTTTAGAAAACTGGGACTGGCGTAATTTATCACTAATTGATCCAAAGGGTGCGTGAACACAATCCATGCTTGGATATTCCGTAATTGAACTTTGTGTGGTTATTGTAATGTCAAATACGTCAAATATTAGAAGCATAATTAGTCGCATGGATATTGAAATGCTCTCTGCAATATCAACTTATGCAAATTATATTGTTTTTGACACACCCTGTATGACACCCACACACCGACAAATTCGAATGACTTCCGTTCAATAAATATAACCAGTAGCGTAGACCATCAGAGTGTTTGGTGTATTCTTGTTCGCTAGGTTTGTGTACATTTCTTACCGTCTATTTGGTTTGCTTCTGACTTAAATCACGTTAAATTATGGCGACGTAGTTGGATTGTCGGTTTCAAGAATTGATAAAGGTACGTTCTTGTCTCTTTCTTGAAGATTATAAATCATTTTACTTCTTCAACAGCGAAGTATGCTGGGCACGGCACAGCGCTCTCGCGTCATGTTAAAACGTATGCAAAACCTTGAATAAAATCCAAAATCTTGCTCCTAAATATCCTATATTCGTCTTACTATAGCATATCATGTTGGTTGTCAATAATTAAGCGATTGGCTTCAGCAAATTTGTCTTTTATAACTGTAGTAAAAGTGAATTATTGATAAGACTCAGAGATTATGTCATAGCGTGTCATTTATCGTGGTAATTTGCACATTTATATTTGTTTATCTGAGGACCATATCAACCATTTCAACCATCGTCCTGTTTATATTTCACTAGTTTCAAATTGTTTATTCCACTGTCAAATTGACTCCTTTCCTTCCTCAGAGGCTTTCAACCAAGAATTTATAGTCAGTTGTCGATATCACAAGAACAAAGCTGTCTGAAAGATTTAAAACTGAAAAAGAAGAAGAAACTAGGTAAAGTGGATTAGTTTGACATAAGTTTTGAAACTGTAAAATGACTAAAGCGCATCTGTGTTTTGTTAACCTGCTGACTTATATAGCAACTGCGGTGTGGTTATGGGTGCCAAAAATATTCTATTGGGTGCTTTCTAAAATTTTGTGTTTTTCAGGCCAAAAAAGAAAAATAAGCGTAAACAGGCTTAGTTACAACCTCGTACCCAGGGTCTTTACTCTACTCCTGGGGAGGAAAGACCCTGGTTGGGGCTGGTCACGTGTCACGCGGATTTCGCGTGGTAAAATTAAAATGACATTAGGGTGGTGTGGCAGAGGAGCGTATTTTTCACTCACTATGAAAATTGGAAAATTATAGTGTTTTTATATTGTTTGTACATTTTATTTTGTATCGCTCTTCGCAAGCTGTGCACTTTTTAAAAGTTCACTTGAAACCAACTACATCCTGTCGTCAAAAATATGGATTATAGAGTGTTAAATTACATTTCAACTGTGAACTGTGAAGTTCTGCTCAAATTTCAAAGGATTATTCATTCAATCGCGTCGATGGCTAGCAAAGGCACGCCGAAAAAACTCTACCGAAAAGGAACGGAATCGACCACTATTTCTCGTTGCAGGCTTTGTAACTGTGTTAGTGATCCTGGTCACAGTAAAAATCTTTATCGGGAGCAGAATCAGTCGATCTTACGCAACGCGGAGCTAGTTTATGGTGGTTGCACGCCATGTGCAAGAAGGATCAATAACTTCAGTCAGTTTAAAAAGACTGTTACTGAAACTCAGAATTTATTACAAGAGGAGGTTCGTGCAAAACGTTGCGTCGAACTGTCCCCGTCTCTTGCCAAACCGTCCGCTAAAGTTCGAGCAACTGGGAACTCTCGTCGTCGAAGTATCGACTTCGATAATGCTAGCGCCAGCTGTCCATCTGAAAGTGCAAGTTCTACATTATCTTTGCATGTAAGTATCTTTTGGTTTTGGTTTTTATATGATCGGTTAGTTATTCCTTAATATTTCCTCTTATGGAATATTTAGCGCTATGATTCCCATGCCAAGAAATGAATAATGCATTCATGATTGCATAACAATGGTTCATTCATGAGGTCTTATGATTCATGAGCCTAACATATAAAAAGTGTTATAAGAGTGACGTTTCGTCTTAACTCAAGGCAGATTCAGACTAAAAGTAAAATTACAATTATAAGGATTAGAAAAAAGTAAGTTTACTGTATATATATATATATATAATTATATATATATATATATATATATATATATATATATATATATATATATATATATATATGGTATATGTTAATCACATGAAAGTGGCCAAGACTTGTGTTTAATGTCAAGTTTATTTCTACATATATTTATAAATATGCCTTGATAATACTATTATTTTAAAGATTGCTCAAGTGTTGGATAAGGCAAACAAGGAGTTAATTGAGGTTGCCAGAAAAAGTGAGCCTTCTGTTTTGCGACGAAGAGGCTATGATGGTATGTCAGCTGACAGCTGGATGTCAGAAGTATTGGAAGAGTTGGCTACCAGATGTCCGGTCACCAACAGCATTCTTGCAGCTATCCTGGAGAGCAATATCTACCCAGCGAAGAAATGTCCTGCCATCTGCTTAATTTATGGAATCATGATGTTCATGCGATGCCATGAATTAAGCAGAATTCAGCGAATCAATTCTGTTCTGCTGACAGAAGGCCATGCATCTGTACATGTAAGTCATTCTGAACAACAGAAACAAGTACATATAAAGGCTATTAACAGTACAATTAAATGTTAGACCTATCCCTCAAATACTGGTATTTAAAACATTCGATAGTAATCCAACATAATGAACTGCTCAACTGGTTTCATTTGATGATTGGAATCACTACACAATAATTATTGTGCAAATTTTGACATTCTTATGAAGCCTGATCAGGTGTTGAAAAATTGGATCTTTACAGGTGTATATGTAACTTCCACATAATGCCAGCCTTTCTACATGTATTTCTCTTATAAAATTTGAAAAAAAAGTTATACTGTAAGAATTTTTTTAGTGTATATTTGTTTCAGTCTTAATTGACATAATATAAAAACAAAAAATTGGATACTTTCTTAAAAATGATTAGCAATAACAAAAAGTAACACAATTCCTGTAAAATTTGACTGTTTAGAAATAAGTTTGCCAACAATATAATTTATGTAAAGCAATATTGTTTCTATTCAAAAACTATAATTTGTATACTATAAGCTTGGTTGAGTGGGTGTTACCAGTTGCTGATGAGTTGCTTCTGTTACAAGTCTCAAATAGATTTTTGAGGCTTCATTTGAGGATTGCATTTAGGTAAAAATGGGAAACTTATTTTCCTGATTACATTTTTTTCGGTTGATTGCTCGCCTGAATAAATATGGTATGTGCCTTGAACCAACCATGAAATATCCGATTCTTGATGACATTGGCCAGAAATTTATTGACC